ACAACATGTAGCAAAACCCCATGGATCCAGTTAAGTGCGTTAACAGAATCAGTATAAAAACGTTTAGAAATAACTTTCTTTTTATCAAAAATAACGGCCATAATTTTTTTTTAAATTTTAATTTAAAAAAAAATTATTAAATTAAATTGTATGTGGTTTTACTACGTCTGCATTGTCCTAGGAGTAAGAAGATTATCAAAGACCCTGCTTTACCGAAGCTCGTGTCAGTTAGAGGTAATAAAACCACATACAATTTACAAATAAAAAAAAATATTATTATTGAACAAAAATTTTTAATGGTCGACTTTCTGAAAAAAAAATACCTTTATAAATTTGAATACTGATTCTAATATCGCACTTAACGGAAACCACAGGGTTTTTGTTACATGTTGTATATTCAAATAGAGCTGAGGTTATTTCAATGAAATAGCTACTTTTCCTGTAACCTTATATTTATCGTGTATTTTTTTAGACAATAACTAAAAAAGAAGTAAACTACGCCAAAGTGCTACTTCAAAGCCGACATCAATACATTAATACTGACATATGGGATTTACAAAATATCCCAATACTGACATATAATTTTCTTATCATATGCTTTCTTGTGATGTCAAATCCGATATCTGTATACTTCATGTCTTATCTCAGTGGTACAATTGTGAACAAAAAAATATTAAATTAACAAAGAAGTTATTATGCCTCCATAAAGCTGTAATAATAGCATCAAGGTTCGAACAAAGCAGGGGAATAGCCCACATGTTCTTCATCAGTGTCACCGCATATACATTTTTTGATAAGCAATAGACGTCGTAGTCGACCTACCAAACCTTGTAAATAGTTCCGTTTGCGCCTAATGTATAAAATGTTAATCTAATACTCTTGGTACTATTGTTCAAGAATACTCAATTTTTAAAAGAACCTAGGCAATTTTGTGGATTTTTATGGAATGTGTACAGATAGGTAGATGGCAGCTCAGGGGCTGGTTTTTCTCGAATTTTATAGTACGCAAGCAACCTAAGTTTGATCCCCGCCTAGCACCACTGAAATTGATCTTGCTTACCATGTGCTCAATAGACTGAGTTTCTGTCTGAGAAATTAAAACATTTCGCAGTTTGAGGATATGATGTGAAGACCGCCTATACGTTCTGATGCACCACTGCGATTACAATAAGAGGTTATCAGTTGTGGGATATATGTGGACTGTTGCTATACTATATTATTAAAAGAAACGTCTGGTTTAATATTAAGAAAATTAGACGCGATTATATCCGTAAAAGTAATAATTTCTTATGTTTAGGGGATGTTGACGGCGTTTAATCAATGTGTAGTGTACACATTAGTTAAAACTACTTTTACGGATTTTATCGCGTTTAATTTATTTGATTTTTAATTCTCGATGTTTCGGGTACTTTCCAGCACCCATGGTCACTGGGGATCCCCCGTATCAATCCGTAAAAGTAGTTTGACTCGATAAATAAAATCAAATGAAAGGTATTATTAAAAATTAATAGTATTATAGCACAATTTTTTTATCTTTGGAAAATTTGTTATAATGCACGTGTATTTAAGTAAATACGTAAAATATCTTTCATTTTATAATATATGACAAATTCAAGATAAATGTCATAAAATAAATATTGATTCTCCTGAAGTTTGGCAATGGTTAAATGCTAAACGTATTGGAACGAAACATCATAAGTATATGTTTGTTATTCGTTTTTTTTTACATTTCTAACATGACCTCGGTAATTCTCCTAGTGAACCTAATGTTGCTTGATTGACACAATTTGGGCTTTTTGTTGCAGCTGATAAACAATAACAAATGCTTGATTTGGCTAGTTTCCTAAATAAAACCATCATTTTAATAAAAAAATGATCTGAATAATATATTTTAAAACAGTAAGATTTCTGTTACATTATATAATAACAAGAAATTTACAATTTACATATCTTAATATTTCTACTTCATTATTGTTGGAATCGAAGAGTGTTCAATCATTTAGCAGGTGTCTGTCTATTTATACAATGCATTAATTATGTATAATGTTTATGTGACCTCAATTCATTGTTAATTTGCCACATGTCTCGAAACATAAATTTTACTACTTATCTACAGAGTGAAAAAGGTAAAAAATATTTATAAATAAGTATTATTTTAATGTTATCGACAACATGGATCTTTTCTACGAAGACTTTCCCATCAAAAAAGGAGTTAGGCACTTGTTTCTCCGCACCGCAGCGCCGACGAGAAAGCGATTATCTAGCGACTATTTCCTCGCTCAAGAAACGAACAATAGTTATAGATCCCATGTCAATAAAAGGGATACATAATAGTTGATCGCGAGCTGTTCACAGTTCACACTGCCAGCGAGAACTCTCTCTCCACCAGTTTGTCGCAGCAACTAGAGCTACCAAAGGTAAAACTCGCTCAGCGATGTTGCAATGAACTTCTTTTTTATGGGAAAGTCTTTGCAGGCAAGATCCATGTGGTCGATAACCTTAAAATAATAATTATTTATAAATATTTTCTAATAGTATTTCTAATAATAAACTGCTGTCCTTGTTTTTTTAGCTAAACCAGTTAGAATGCATCCTAATCATCATGCATTTACATTAACCTACATAACACTCATGAATTGGAAGTTTATTATTATCTACATTGTGCATTGAGCTATTATGTACTATGTACGTACATATTACTTCAATGACATTGTGTAATAATGATAAAAACCGACTACCAAAATCAACTTTTTTAAATCTTCATAACTTTTGTCCACTACTGCGTAGCTACATTTTCTAAGTCTTTATATAGAAGATCTATATTTTTCAAACGACATAGATTTCATCTCTGTACAGTCTGGGGCACAGGTTCATACAATTTTTTGCCATCTCCAATAATAAATTGAGTATGCTAATAAGTAGATATTACCAAGTTATGTCATCGACACGGTAATACCAACGCAACAAACCGGTCGCAAACCGCGGATGGAATTGTCTAAAAACACATGGCCAACGCCCCACCTGATTAGAGCAAATGTTTAACGAAATCATTGAAATGATTTTGGCTCAGTTTAAAATTAATTTAATCTTAAAAATGTATCACCTTTTCTACTTTCTCATTTTGTAATAAAAAATATGTTTTCAAAAAATACCAGCCTTTTGCTGCTGTGTACCGTATGGTGAGTGTAAAGAACCGGAGACTCTTTTTACTGGAATCGAGGCATTCCTTCTTACTTTTCGGTGTTGAAAACACATTTTTTGATGTGAAAACCTCTTTAGACACGTTGGGCACTTTTGGGATGTAGGAAAACCACTGAACTCGCGGGACCGTCACGCTCAGATACATAAAATTGATCAAAGAAAGAAAGATGGTGCAAAAACGAAGCACATGTCTTCAGCACAATAGGAGGGATTCCAAATATTCATATCGTATCTGCATTTTCATCGTCTATAGGCCACTTACCATCAGATGGACTGTGTATTCGCGTGCCACTCTGAATTTACGAAAAATTACATTAGTTACGTATAAGAAAAAATATTTTATTTTCCCTTTTGTAGTTTTGGAAAGTACTCCTTGTTACTTTCATAAAATATCTATAATATTCTAAACCTATACGTACGTAAAAACGTACGTAAGTGAGTTTTTTCAATAATTATAAATATTTTTGCGCCTTACTTATATTTTTACTATAAATTAAAATGAAGGTAAATTATAAAAACATCAATCCTACGAAACAGTTATCTATATATTTGTACCATTGCTAATCGCATTATAATCAGGCTATTTGTACTATTCAGTAATTCGTTGTAGTTCATAACAGGAAACACGCACCTGCTACAGGTAGATATGATTCAATATTTGTGTTATATTTTTCATAATTTAGGCAATACTCCTCTGAGCCGTGTCTATTAATACAAGAAAAGCCCTGAATAAACACATTTAAAAAAACTGTTGTCCAACCAGAACAATTTATGCAGGAAAACATCAGACTTTTTTAATGTATTTTATTTTTATATATGTCTTTAATGAGATTGAGAATGTCATAAGGCATCCACTGTAACCCTTAGTTTGAAGTGAATTATAATAAAAATTAAATAGATAAAGATAAATTATATTACCCATATCGTTGAGCCATGTTAAGTTACATTAAGTTCAGGGGCTAAGGGCTCACTATAAATTTTATTGTATGCGAAATGGCTTCGGTCCCATGATTTACCACGTGCTCGAAGGTGAAGGAAATCATCGTGAGGAAACCTGCATGTCATGGTAATAAAAATATTTTGAAGATGAAGACTCTGCCAACACGCACTGGAACAGCATGCGGTACCTACTAATTGTTATTCCTATCGGGCTAGGATAGGCTTTAAATTTATTTTACTTTTTTAATTTTTCTATCATTAAAAATTATTTACCGAGTGGTAACATTTATGCCGCGGTGCGGCTACAACCCTAAATTATAAACCTATTTAATAAAAAATAATCACCAAAATCGATTCACAATAACTAAGACATCACGTAACGTACATTTAAAAAAAAACATAAGTACATACAATCGAATGGAGAACCTCCTACTTGTTTAAAGTCGGCTAATACATAGATGGGTCAATTATGGATTGGATATGGAGTCCTACATTAATAGCTCTGAAATAATCAATCTGAGTTGTGATAATTCAACACAAGAGACAGTCTTTAAACAGAAACAGTTTTTTTCTTTATAGCATAGCAAACTGTTAATTTTAAAATGTAAAACTAAAATTTTTGTTCATCAATTTTACAAGCTTTTATCTAACTCAATCTCGTTGACGACGGGTGACTAAGCTGAAAATTCAATCAAAAAAAACCCAGGGTTGGCACCCGGGTTGACCATGAAATGCATATTGCATTTCATGGTTAACCCGGGTGCCAACCCTGGGAACGCTTATAAAAGCTTGTTCTTTTTTCCAATAGATTTGATATATAATTAAGGTTATTTATATATTTTGACAGGAAAAACGTAACAATGGATAGAAGCCTCGTAGGTTGGATATTTGTGAGTGCAGTATGTAACTTAAATATTATTCCTACTGTACCAGCTTCTCTTTCGTTACAAACATCACAAAGAAGGGATGCCGACAGCTGTAAGCCATTAGTTATTGCTCATCGAGGCGCAAGTGGTTACATACCAGAACATACACTGGGGGCTTATGCTCTAGCTATTACTATGGGAGCTGACTACGTGGAGCCCGATCTTGTGATGAGTGCCGACGGACATTTAATTGCACGACATGAAAATGAACTCGGTCTTACAACTAATGTTGCTCAACTACCAGAATTTGCCGATCGTTATAGAACACAAAGTGTCGATGGGCGTGAAATTAGTGGTTGGTTCACTGAAGACTTTACTCTTGCCGAAATAAAAACTCTTCGAGTTATAGAACGTATACCGGAAATCAGGCCTGGCAATGCCAATATGGAGCTTTCGATATTCCAACATTCCAAGAAATAATTGATCTAGTAAAAAGCTTAGAGATTAGTGAACGACGTGCTATTGGCATATATCCGGAAATCAAACATGGCACCCATTTCCAGCGTTTGGGTCTAGCGATGGAGCGACCGGTAGTAGAAACGTTGCATAAAAATGGCTACGTAAATTCCACCGCTCCAGTTTTTATTCAGTCTTTCGAAGTAAGTAATTTAAAAGAGCTGAAAAAAATAACAAAGCTTCGTTTGATACAATTGTTTAGCAGTAACCCACTTAATCAACCCTTCGATCAAGCTATTGCCAGTACCGGATTAACTTATCAAGATATGGCAAAACCAGAAGGGCTTAAAGAAATTTCAACTTACGCTCACGCCGTAGGTCCAGAAAAAAATTATATTATCCCTCGTAAAGCAGATGATACTCTTGGTGAGCCGACGAGCTTTGTACAAGATGCTCACGCGGCAGGTTTGGAAGTACACCCGTTTACTTTCCGAGCTGAGAATTCTTTCTTGCCCGCCGAATTTAGAAGCATAGATCTTTCAGAGGAAGCCATTGGGGATTTTAGCGGAGAATTGAAAGCCTTTATTGCGACGGGGATAGATGGACTATTTGTTGACCAACCAGACGTGCCTGTGCGAGTTAGAGATAATAATTGTTATTGAGATAATATTTTCGTCCTTTTATAATCTTCAATAATGCTTTAAATTGCAGAATTTGTGTCATTATATAATAGAATTCACTTCTAGTCAATTTTATTTATTTAAACTAAATGTTATACCTACCATGATATTTTAATTTTATAATTCAATTATTAATATTATCCTGAGAGTTATTGTGGAGAAACCAGACGGCCCTTTCCTGCGGCACTGGATACGTAATAATGTATGAATAATAATTAATTAATTAATATACGAAATAATTTAGTTACAATTGTTAATGACATTACTAGCTTATTTTAGATTTTAAATTAATTACTAACCCATATGGATCATGGTACGAAATAAACGATTATTATCATAAATATTGTCACCTAATGGTTAAAAAAGCAGAATTCGTGATTTTAATTATTGTACATCAAATATAATAACCATATTCGTTTTAGCCACACGTAAAGCATCTAGACCGACGACAGGGAGCAGCGTAGAAAGTGGGAAATGTCACTTGCCACGATAGCCAAATTGTCTACCAATGGTGCTAATTAAGCCAAAACTTGTTAACGGAACGAGCTGTGTCCAACAGTGGACTTTTGCTGGTGGATAAAGACGAAGTAGAATACAGAACTTAATACACCACTTAATCTTAAATAAAGAACAGTTACATATAGTATTACGTTTGAATACCAGTGTAAAGTCAGCTTTCTGCTGCTCTGTTTCGTGTGGTAAGTATTAAGAACCTGAGATCCTTTTTACTGGCAACGAGGCATCTTTGTGGGTTACCACCTATCGCCTTCTCTTTAACTGAGAATAGGTGTAGACTTAAATGTCTATGGGCCTTAGCATCCATCAAATAGAACAGATATATAATTTTATTTTATTGCGCGGATCTAAGCAAATTTATTTTTAACTACTTTAATATAATGGATATCCGCAAATTAACGATGATTCTAGTAATTAAAATATAATAACATAGTACACAAAATAATTTAAAACATCATCATCATCATCATCATCATTACAGCCCTTCACAAGTCCACTGCTGAACATAGGCCTCCCCCAAGTAACACCACAAAGCACGGTCCTGAGCCACCTGCATCCATCGACTTCCTGCGTGTCTTACCAGGTCGTCACTCCATCTAGTGGGGGGTCGCCCTACACTACGCCTACCGGTACGAGGCTGCCACTCGAGAACCTTTCTTCTCTATCGGTTATCGGTTCTTCGAGCTATATGGCCGGCCCATTGCCACTTCAGCTTACTAATCCGTTGGGCTATGTCGGTCACTCTGGTTTTACTGCGGATATCCTCATTTCTGAGCCTATCACGCACAGAAACTCCGAGCATAGCCCTCTCCATAGCTCGCTGAGCGGCCTTGAGCGTCCTCATACGGCCATTAAAAACATAGTAACTTGTTATACATAGTAGAGTCATGCTGCAGTTATATTAGCGGAATAGTTGTAGCACGAATAGATCGGCTCGACCGGAGAAAGACCAAGGATTACCAGCGTAAAATATTAGCTGCCCTGAAATATTTTTGATTTCTCAGGCATGCAAATTTTCTAACGATGTTTTTCCTCATCGCTAAGTAGCGTTAAATCAGCACATAGAATTATTATTAAAACTTTTAAAGATGTTAGCGGCTCGTTGTTTTTATATGTATTAAACCTACAACCTTGAGCATGTTATAGTCATGTGACGTACCAAGAAGTATTTAAACATTTACCTCAATCCTTCTTTGCTTCATTTAAAGTTCTTGTCTTATCTAACGAGGCGGTCTTCATTTATATTTAAAATAAGCACTATTGTTCATAAATTCTACTATACATAAATTAACCGTTTCAGAGCATTTGTCTTTACATCTGTACAATCTTTAAACGCGTTGTGGTTGTGTCTTAACATTGATAACGAGACGCATTACATCAAGCGTCTTCTACGAAAAGGTAAGCCAATTACATTTATTTTGTCTCATTAAATAATTTACAAATTTTATAAGAAACATTTTGCTATAACACAATCTACAGTGAAAAATTTGATGAAAATTTAACGTTACAAATTTCAACACAAAGTTAAAAAAATAACTAACCGTGACACGCTTGTAGTTATGGTGGTTCGTTGATTCAAAGATATCGATAGAGTTTTATTCACTTTAAATGAAAAACCAAAAGGTTTGCAATTTAGGTAATATAGTGATAAGCCACTATTTAAATTCTTATAATTAAAATATACTAAGGTATATAAAACTTAACACGTTTGTAATTTATTTAATTTTTTTCTAATGTGTTAGGGCTTGTAGAATAATCGTGATCATTCCTTAATTTAATAAAAAATTTACATTAGCGTATAATTTTTACTAAATTAATTTCTACATTACTTTGATTTTCAAAAGCAATAACTTACTTTCATTTTCTTTTAAAATAAGTTTAGAAAATGAACGCTAATTTCTTGGTTTATCATGCACGTTACACAATTGAAAGATATGTTTAGTGACCATTAATAGAATTCTAGCAGATATTTAAATTTGTAAACAAATATACGTTTTAAAGTAAAACATATTTAATTAAACAGGATAACGTGGGATATGGCGAAAACCTTGGTGACATGGATACTTTTAGCTGCTGCAAGCAACTTAAGCTTAATTCTATCTGCACCCGCCTCCATTTCACTTCCGCTAATACCAAAGAAAAGCGTTGATCGTTGTAAACCGTTGGTAATAGCTCATCGAGGTGCAAGTGGATATATACCTGAACACACGTTGGGCGCTTATTCTCTTGCCATCACGATGGGTGCAGATTATGTGGAGCCAGATCTAGTTATTACTCGTGACAAGCATTTGGTTGCAAGGCATGATAATGAACTCAGTATAACAACAGATGTAGCTCAACATCCTGAATTCGCCAGTCGTCGAAAAACACAGGAAATTGACGGAAAGGAAATGAGTGGCTGGTTCACAGAAGACTTTACCCTCGCAGAACTTAAAACACTACGCGTTATAGAACGCATCCCTGAGACGAGGCCAGGAAACGCACGCATGGACGGCGCTTTTGAGATTCCGACATTCCAAGAAATTATTGATCTTGTAAAAAGTCTGGAAAAAAGTCAACGACGTACTATTGGTATTTATCCGGAAATTAAACACAGCACTCACTTTCAACGTCTGGATCTGCCAATGGAAAGACTAGTAGTTGAAACTTTCCGAAAAAACGGTTATATTGGAGATTCAGCACCCGTGTTCATACAATCGTTTGAAATTAATAATTTGAAATATTTGAAAGGAATCACAAGTCTCCGCTTATTACAATTATATGAGAGCCCATCTGATCAGCCTTACGACCAAGTAGTTGCTGGTACCGGAATTACTTACGCTGACATGGCAACACCCGATGGTCTTAAAGAAGTAGCTAGATATGCTTCAGCTGTTGGGCCTGATAAAAATTATATTATTCCCCGTAATACCGATGAAAGTTTGGGTGAACCCACAAGTTTCGTTCAAGATGCTCATGCTGCTGGATTGAAAGTACACCCCTACACTTTCCGTGCTGAAAATACTTTTTTGCCTGCGGAGTTTAGAAGTGGAGATTCTCCTAAGGCTATTGGGGACCTCATCGGTGAGATAAAAGTTTTCATTGCAGCTGGAATCGACGGTCTATTTTCGGATCAACCAGATAAAGCAGTTCGTGCAAGAGAGATGTGCTTATAACAGGCTTTAAGAATTTGAGTGTGCCTTAAAGTAAAAATAGAATATCTCTGTAAACCCCTACATATGTATGATCAAGGAACATTAGCTTAGCAATGGTTGGAATTTAGAAAATGAATTAATTCATAAAATGTATCTTTCATACATATCCCTACTATGACAAGTGTGTGTGTGTGTTTGTGTGTGTGAAAATATAATAATAATTAATACAAAAAATATTTAGTAAGAGTTATTTTTCACTAAAAATCAATCATTTAAAAAGTTAAGGCGGGGAACCGAATTCTTCCCAAAATGCTACCCCATAAAATCTGCCGATGCCATGCCCCTAACTTTCTACGCCAATGTTAATAAATAGAATATTGTTTATTTTGTAATTAATTCTAGTCATTTTTTATTAATTACAACATAATTATTATAAACATCATAAAGAAACCTGCTTGTTTGAAAAGTAAAAAATATTCCAAATTTTAATATTAAGTACCTGGGTAAGCGACTTTTGATCGGCAAAACCTTGTAAAGTAAATCATTATATATGTCAAAACATGGTAAATATACATATTGCACATTATTTTGTTTTTAATTTTAATTATTCATAAAAGTATGAAATAGTGATTTCTTATATTTACGCGAACACTACACATTTAAATAATACTAGTTTTTACGGATTTTATCGCGTATATTAACTTTTTTGTATAATCGTAGTTTCACGCATTTTACAGCACCCATGGTCGCGGACTGAGATGTTCAACGTCCAGATGTCATAGTTAACCGCGGTTACCATAGATTAAAATAATTATTTTTTGTGGCGATCTACGCAGTATGAAAATATAGAAGTCTGGCAGTTGTATGCTTGGGTTGGGAGATAATTTGATTAATTATAGGATTCTAAGCAGATGGTAGCACCCAGCAATTTTCTCTATTGAAATTAGGATGTTTTTTTAAATTTCAATAGCCTCCCGAATCATCTTTGGAAGGAGTCAGTGTTCTTTAGTGAAGATTTGTGGTCGATAAAATCTGATGTAGTAAAGGAGGCGATCCTGTACGTGTTCACAGACTGCAGACTTCCCGGAGCGTCGATTCTTCATATCAGCTATATGATGTGAAGCACACAGTCCATCTAATGGTAAGTAGATCCTCAATTAAGAATAAAAATGCAGATGCGTTGTTGAAGACTAAGATGAAATAAATTAACTACGCTCTAGCCATTGAAATTAGAAATGCCTACATTTATTTTTTGTAAACCCCTACAATTTCATAGAAATCATTGGAGCCGTTTTCCAGAACGCGATTACAAAGTTACAAACAAACAAATAGACAAATATGTGAATATTTATCTACTAAGAGTATATAGGATATATATACTGTACAATATTTTTACAGATTGTTTTATGGATACGGGGTAAGTAATTATATTTTTTTAAATACTCCGATGCTGTTAAAATCTGTTCATTCATTCATTCTTTATAACCTCTCAAAAGTTCTTTTCTGGAAATAGGTCTCCCCCATAGGCTGTCTCATAGGGGGGATATTTTCCACAGTTGACACGCTTTCCACGCCGCGTCGGTTGAAAAACGCAGTTTTTAACTATTTTGAGTTGTTACAAGAAGAACTTCCCATCTCCTGTTTAATTTCCCTATGTTGGCGCTTATGACACCCACGGGATGATAATGAACCCAAAACCCCACCTGGTTAGCCCGGGATGAAGAGTTGGTTCAAAGAGGCCATTCCGAGTAGGTTTGGCCATTATTCTCCAAATTTGTAATGGGGAGTGCTCGCAGCCGAGGTGGAGTCGCGTGCGAATAAAAGTATTGGTATGGCGAGCGCCCACTCGCCCTGTTCTCATTGACTCTGGCGAGGCCGTACCAGTGCTGCGACTATGGTGCGGTCGTGAGAGAAGATGAGTGTCGGTATTACATGCGCCACTTTTCCTACTACTAGATATTATTGATAATTTATATACTTTTGATAGAAAGTACAAGCACCAACAAACAAAAAAAGGACCCCCCCCTTTAAAAAAAAACCACCCCTTTTAAAAAAAACTGAATTCAAAATAAAAAAAAAATAATTTTCACATATTAGCTATCGACTTCAAAAGCTAAACGAATCAATTTGTATTTTTAACTTCCCGCTTAGAAAATTAAAAATTTTCAATAATCAGGAAGTTATAGTTTTTACCCCATTTTTTGAAAATTGAATTTTCATCAAATCTTGACGTTTTGAGGTCATAGGAAGCAACCCTGACAATTTTTCGATAAATGTAAAATGAATGTGATAAATTCGTCCGTATGTCTATATATATAGACATAGTCATAAGTTTTATTAGCATCAATACACTCACAAAATATACATTTATTAAATAGTGCTTATGAAATAACCTGCCACTACACGTGAAATCATGATTTTTGAAATGATAAAAGGTGTTTTTTTAGTTGAGCTTTAAAACCGTTTACAGATTTAGATTCCCGTAAAGGTGGTGGTAAATTATTCCAACATTTAGTGGCCATGTATCTAAAACTACCACGAAACGCGGCTGTTCGGTGATATGGGATTGCCAGAATTGGTGTACCCGTTCTGATGCTTCGACAATCATCTGCTCTTCTCCATTTTAATTTTTGAAAGAGGTATTCCGGTCTTTCTGATTTTATGCATCCGAACAGAAGCGTGGCTAGATGTAAATCTCTCCTCAATATGTCCGACTTATTAAGATATGGATGCACATGATGATATCGAGGAATATTAAAGATGTACCTTGCACATGCGTTTTGCACCCTTTGTATTGACCTATTTGTTTTAGCAAATAGTCTAGGACCATACACGGTATCTGCGTACCCGAATTTTGAAAGTACGAGTGACTCACATAGGCGCAAGCGGACGTTTTCACTGAGATAATGACGCACTTGGTAGAGTACTTTGAGTCTATAAAAACAGTTGCGTATGATCTCAAGTACATGATTCTCAAAGCGAAGACCCTGGTCCATCAGCAGTCCTAGATTACGAGTCTCACTTACACGTTCCACCGGTTCTCCACGTATGCTTATAATAAATTTCTTTTTCATTATACGATCAACCTGTCCTTTTGACCCTAACAACATGAATTTTGATTTATATGGGTTGAGCACAAGTGTATTCCTTCTTCCAATGAGATCGATGCAAATCCTCATTTATTTTTGCTACTGCACTTTCTTCTTCGCTAGAAAAAAAATGGGAGATAAATCTGAATCTAAAAATGATGCTATTCGAAAGCGGAATGATATGGGGCTATACAAGGATAGTGACAAGAGAGGTAAACATGAACCCCCTAATAAGACTAATGAAGCTGATGTAAACTTTGAGAAAAAACACATAGAGTCCTTCCCTGTCATGGAACCACACTACATAAGGCAAACTTCTAAGCGTCGTTATCTGGATGCTTCGTTATCCATCGATGCTTCGTTATCCATCACGAAAATGCATCAACTTTATAAAGACAAGTGCACAGAAAATAATATAATTCCAGTATCTGAAATAACGTACAGAAGAATATTTTGTACCCATTACAATTTTAGTTTTTTTGCTCCAAAAAAGGATCAATGTTTAATATGCTCCAATTTCAACAAAGCTAGAGACGACGAAAAACTAGTGTTGAAAGAGGAATACACAGATCATTTAGCAAGGAAAGCGTCCTGTTACTCGGAAAAAGCGAAGGACAAAGAAAGAGCAGAGAAAGATAAAGAGTTTCGCTGTGTAACATTCGACTTACAAGCTGTGTTACAGATACCTTCTGGACTGGTGGGACAGCTTTATTATTATCGAAAACTATGTGTTACAATACACAATCTCTGTATATACGAAGTAGCGCTGCCAAACGACGCATATTGTTTTGCTTGGTCCGAAATTAATGGGAAACGAGGCAGTTCCGAAATAGGAAGTATCCTGTACCACTACCTTTCCACGTGCGTTCCTTCTCATGTAACCGAAGTTTGTCTGTATTCTGATACGTGTGGAGGACAAAACCGGAACCAATATGTTGCTGCATTACTTATATTTGCAGTCCAAAACATTTCTCACTTACGAAAAATTGAACATAAGTTTCTTGAATCAGGACACAGTTACATGGAGGTGGACAGCATGCACAGCAGTATTGAGTCAGCAAAGAAAAATTCTGAGGTTTACTGCATGCCTGTTTAATTTTCAAACAAGCAAGATCGAAAAAAAAACAATAACTATTGAAGGTAATTCGTTCATTAAAACGCCCTACAAAACGAAAGAATTTAAATACAACGAATTTTACGATTTAAAAAAATTAGCTGATGAAACTGTTTTCAATCGCTCAAAGGATAATAATGGAAATCAAGTGAAGTGTCTCAAAATAAAGAGAATACGGTATCTTCAGGAAGAGAGCTCCGAAATTTATTTTAATTATGACATGTCTGAAACGTTCTTATACATCGATGTCTCAAAAAATACGGAAACTTCTCAATGTCTCAGTACTAGAGCTAAAAAACGCAAAGAAACCACTACGCCTCAGACTATTGTCTTAAAACACCTTTACTTGAACCCTTTACCCATAAGTTAAGCTAAAAAGAGAGATCTTCTAAGTTTATGTACTAAAAAAATAATTCCTGAGGAATACCATGGTTGGTACTCTTCTCTACCAACTGCAACCAATCAAGCAGATCGTTTACCTGAACCTTCGATTGACGAAGAGTCATCAGAAGATTAAGATCCTTAATGGAATTAAAAGCAGTTTACCTAAAAGGATTCGTTTTAATTAATTGACTTTTATTGTTCTTCATTAGTGATCGGAGATTGATTGGCATAACTATGTGTTAAGGAATAAAATTGGTTGATTATTAAAAAATCGTTTTATTTATTATCGTTTCATAAATTACCTATGTAAAAATTAATTTCTTTTTATTTAATTGATCACTTTTGTATAATGTTTATAGTACCTAATAAGTGACATAATTACACTAAAATTCTACAGGCAAAACAAGTTAAAAGTATCAAAATTATCATTATTTAAGCGAATTTTCAAAAAAAAAATCTTTCCTATCAAGTTATTGGTGTAAAATACAATAAGCCATTATACAAAACTGAAATGAGCTTTTAAAGTCAATGAATTCAGAAGATATATCACGTTTGTTAAGTACAGGTAAAACATATTAAATGCTATATACTAATATTAAGTGTTATATAAGAGTAAATTTTAAAAGAAGGGTTGTTAGTGCAAAATTATGCTTAAACAATTTTTTTATTCATGAGTTTGAAATAGATCAAATTAAAACTTAAACTTTGAAAAGTCGTTTACTCAAATCGACACTAAAAGCACTTATTACTTTTTACCCGTAAGCAGACGATATGCTTATTTCTTGTAAACAAGCACAAGCAATAACACAATAAGGTTGGTATTTTTTGTGACAAATATTATTGAAAATTAAAAGGTGATTTATGAGCGTTATTACTAGGCATGGCATTTTAATCCTTATGAACGAAAGTTACTTCATCACCAAGACAATTTTATAAAGATAAACTTTGTTTCTTATAGCATGTTATTTAAACACATAGTTTAAGGTGCGTGTTTGAGCAAAATGCCGCGCTTGTCGTTATTTGTGAGGTTTTTAGGAGCTATCTACTTGTTATTAAAAAGATATATCAACTAATAAAAAATCTATTATATTTCGAGATAATCTTGATTCCATAATAGCCAATTTCAATTTTTTTATATAATTTAAAAAGTACCTAACGCGCAGTCCTCGCGAGCCAAGGTAAGCCAGTTTGAGAATCACATATTTTTAACCGCTATGACCATAATGTTGACTGTTTATTTAACAATAATAAAAAGAAGTCAAAAACAAAAGTCTGGATCAAGGAAATATATGAAAATCGTAACCAATACGGAAACAACTAATCAAAGGAATTTTTATTCGACCATTTAGTGTCCAATTTAAGTGATCGGGATCCTTCGAATCCCAGAAATTCTAAAAATTCCATACAACTGAATTAAAGGAATACTATCTTCGTTATCCATTTTTTTTTGCATTGACTCGCGAGCGTGTTCACAACCGTTCACACCGCGTAAGCTGCTCAGACTGAGCAGACGGAGGTGACTTTGAGGCTTTGAGCACCGCCAAAAACCAACAAAATAAGGCTCTCGGTCAAGCGGCGCTCAGCCGAGGATATTTTTAATTATATTATATATTGTATTAGTCTATGTTGGTTCGCGAAACTGCCTCGCGAGTTGTGCTCGGTCAGTGTGGACACGGCTAATATGAAACAGTTGATCATACGAAATAACTATTCATATTTCAAGCTAATAGTTCTTTATGCTCTATACAAGAACTATATATGCAAGAACATTAATCCTTATTGGTTTGAACAGGCTGACTATACAATAAAAGCATCACTAGAAAAACGATATAGTCACCGTTAAGAAATAAATTAAAAGATTGTCGATGATCTGACAGAGACGATATTACTGCAATTTTTGTTTTCTGAAGAATTTTGAATATACCACAATTATTTAGTGTACTTAGGTATTTTATGAAGGTCAAACTGGGCACAAAGAAAACGATGGCATTCCATGCCTCTGGAATATAAAATACATGAAAAATAAAGTTAATTATCTTAACAAATTTACAACATTATTTTGAATTTTATACCGGTAATTCACGTGCCCATCGATCCTTCTATAATCGCAGAAGCTTGTCACGTGCTGATTGACATCAGTCAACTATAACAACAATGCACGCTGTAAAGTCGAAAAGGTGTTACAATGAGAAGGATGTCAATTGATTTGTGCAATCTGATGTGATTATCTGGTGAGTGTCGTAAAAAGCGATAGAGAAAAATGAAACAGAAGGGGTTAAGCAGCATCTTCCTTATAACAACTCAAAATTATAAAAAAAACTGCGGTTTCTAGTCCACCCGCTGCCATGCGTGGCACTAGATTATTGGCAGAAATCTGGATAATTGGCGACATGATAAATATGGTAATATTATTCGATGCTTTTATGGAGGTTTCACTATTACCAAAAAATACTTATTTTTAGATTAGAATTAAATAAAAAGCCCACTGTCGATGAATATTAGACAAAGAAAACGAAAAAAGCGTAAGTGTAGTCCATACATTGAATTGCCACAAGCATACCATCAGTCCATTGGAACAAGCGAAGCTTTGTAATCAGATATTGTGAGTTTTTGTAAACGTGGAACGAGCCCACGCTATTACCATCCTTTTAATCCATGCCTGTTAGTGCGGTAGTAAAAACGATTAGGACAATTAATAATAATAGTAAGTCTCTTCAGACTTGCCTTTTATTAATTTAATTCATTTTTTGAATAATGATTCTAAAAACAAAGTTTTATGTCTTTGTCTAATCTATTAATAATAATATAAGTACCTCAAAAACCTTGTAACAATACATTAAATTTTGCCTGATAAATTAGAAAAGATCCAATAAGTCACTAATTGAATGTTACTATAAAGCCGCGTATCGATTATGCGCTCCCGGCACATTTCGTGACGCGCGCGTCTTTGGCACGCCACATACGTACGGAATTCCGATTCAGGATTCCGTTTCGGAATTCCGATTCGGGATTTCGAACGCAGTAAGTCCATATAAAATCAAGGACCCTTCACACACCTACGGTAGCTTTCCGTTCGAAATTTTGCGGGCAAAACGGGACTCCGTATTTGTGTGGGTGACCTGTTCGTTCCGTTTTGGAATTCCGACACGTAATTCCGTATGTAGTGTGTGGCAGGCCGTATACCACAGACTAACTAGCGGATTCTACTTATACGACCGCACCGACCAGTGCGTTCCGCGGAACGCGTTCCAAATATTCGAAGTATGGAGTGTAGAAGCAAGGAGTACCAACTCCCATAGTAGAATAGTTGAAAAAATGCCTATCTGTAAACAGTAAATAACAGTTCAAAACTCTCCACAACAGCGCTGGCGTAGCTACTGGGATGAAATGAACTTTTTGTCGACTTCTTAGTAGTCTTTGCAGTTGTCGACGGTTTAAGTGTGCTGCTAAACTGCTCAGTAGTTCTAAAATCTAAAATAATTTTATTTAGTAAATATAACCTCGAAAAAGTCGTCTATCCCACTAATATTTTTCGGTGCGTTCTTTAAAGTATGCATCGTAGTTATACTGGTGCCACCCTTATTTAACGGTTTTCTATGGACACTTTTTAATACACGGTCTGTACTCCTTACTTCTACAGTCCATAATTCGAAGTATATCAACTATAAGCGCGCCTGACGCGCGGGGCATCTGTTCTAGTGTTTGACCATTCTACATAGTGGGTGCGATTTTAAAATAGTGGTAGCTTTATTAGGGTTGTAAATTTATTATATTATGGCTGTAAAGCGTGGTCACGAAGGCCACTCGCTCACAGAATGCCAGTGTAAAATAGCAGCTCGATGCTGCTGTGTTTCGTATGATGACTGTAGAGAACCGGAGACCTTTTTTTACTGAAAACGAGGCATTTCATCTTAATCTTCAGGGCTTCTAGCGCATCTGAATTTTGATTCTTAATCGAAGATAGATGTAGATGTCTATGGGACACAGGATCATCGTACCATCAGGTAGACTGTGTGCTCGTTTTTCACCCTTACTCTATAAAAAAAATCAATCGTTTACGAGCAGCTGCCGCTTTCATAGTTCTCTCCATGCATCTTCTTTGAGCGCTTTATTATGATAAAAACGACTTGCTATTCCACAGCAGTTCTTTTGAATCATATAACTTTATCAATTTACGGCAACTTTGGTTGTCCATAGCTTGGAACGTAACGAATACACTAATAATGAAAACGCCAATAGAACTACTTTGATTCGCGGTAAAAACAGACACCAGACGGAACGGCCCGTTCCACGTTAAAGGTTTCTAACGGAAAACTTGGCGGTCGTTCCAAGTCGATATCTATTTCACGCAGCTGGAACACGCGCCAATGTTCGACCTCTTGGAGTGAGTGCATAGTCGATACGCGGCTTAACATTACTTTTGAGAAATTTACCACAATAATCTTTTATTAACAATACTAAAACAATGTCATTAGTGCATTTCCAGTAACTTGTATTGTCCTATATTTCTTGCTTTCAAAAATATTTAACTCTGCGAATATCAAAATCAGATTTACTTTAATATTCCAACGGGTTCCAGATTTTGTACCACAAAAACTCATAGCACAGAAGCTTGTTGAATTTAGTAGCCTTTTGTAGCTTTTGTTCTTCTGCTTAGTAGATTTTGAGATAAAACCTGGTCACTCTGTCGGAACTTCATTCAATTTCAAGTTGTAATTGTAAATGTTTATTACAATATTCAAGAAATTTTGAATGTATAATATTTTTATTTTAATAATGTTCTATTTGAATTTATTAATTAATATATAGCAATGTAAACTGTAACCTTTTCAGACATGATACGGCAATATTTAAAATTTAGGAAGACTATTACCATCGTATGTGTTTTATCTTTGCGTAAGTACTTAAATAAGTACAATTAATTTTGTTTCTTTCATTTGCCTGTCGCTGATAGGTTATGTTTTATGCTATTTATTCCAATTTTCGTGCTTAAAAGACTACTCGCGTATTGATTGAAAATTTTAATTAAAATAATAATAAGCAACAATACTTTGTTGCAGTGTTCTTAATTTTCCTTATTCTTACAAAAAATCAAAATAGTAATAGTAGTGAGCTAATAAGGCACCACAAAAGACTGGATGATGATTTCCAGGACATAGGCTATAGAGAACTGGATGACATACCAAAGAAAGAAATATATGTTCTTGGAGAGAAGGAATTAAAAATGGAATTAAGTAATACTATTGAGGATAGTACTAAGCGAGAACTACGAGAAGTCAAAGCCAAAGTTGAACAGTTGGAGAAAAAGATTGCATTTTTAGAAGGCAGAATCCCACAAAAGTATCCAGAAGTCCAATATTTGGGGTATAAAGAAAGAAAACGAATATTGGTAAGTTGAGTCTTTACTCCACTTATGACTGTATTTGTATTCATTTATTTAACTCGTATTCTATCCATTATTTATATATTAATCTTAATTGAAGTTTATGATTTATCAATTACATAGAATTAATATTTGAGCAAACCACAATACTCATAAAAATTACTATGGTAATTATAGAAACAATATAGTACAGTATTTCTAATATACATAGAATTATAATGTGTATCAGTGACAATACATTGTCATCAATATAATAACCATTAAACTATATCAGAAAACATTTTGAAAATAATTCCTTTTGATTTGATTTTGATACAAAATTAATTTAGGTTACAGGAGGTGCTGGTTTTGTTGGCTCACATCTTGTTGATGTGCTAATGATACAAGGACATGAAGTAATTGTTGTGGACAATTTTTTCACTGGACGAAAACGCAATATAGAACACTGGTTTGGTCACCGGAACTTTGAATTGATACATCATGATATTGTGAATCCACTATTTGTTGAGGTAATTAGAATATAAAATCAAATGTAATCTAATGATACTGATCTCTCTCTGATTGAGTCGGATTGCTATCACATCAAACTATGAGATTGAGCAAATAGATGTGCATCAGTGCTTGTGCACATCCGATAGCTAGTTTCACTTGAGACTGGCCGTCGTGACGTAAATTCAGTCTGAAGAACATTATTTACTTAATACAGTAACATTTGATGTGAAGAAATTTTGTTTTAAGAGTTTATTTACATGGATATTTTGCATAGAGCCGTGGTAGCTCAGGGCTAAGCACTCGCTGTATGCTAGCTACCCAAATTTGATCCCAGCTGGTACTAATGCAATGGTTAATTGTAAATTCAAGTGCTGATTTACAACATGCTATTCGGTGAAGTAAAACATCATGAGGAAACCTGCATGCCTGAGAAATAAAAAAAATAATAATTTGAAGACAAATGAAGTTCGCCAACAGACATTGGGGCAGTGCGATATACATTTCCTTGTCCTAAAACCCTCTTAAAAATGAGAGGAGGCGTATCCCTTGCAGTGAGACATATATAGACTAACTTTTATGAATACTTTTAAAATTTCACTACTATTCTATTATTAGATTGCCACTTTTTTTTATTCTTCTAAAGATTTGTTTAACTTCATATTGTCTTTTTCAGGCAGATGAAATTTACCACTTAGCTAGTCCAGCAAGCCCACCGCATTATATGCAAAACCCAGTTAAAACAATTAAAACAAACACTTTGGGCACCATTAACATGTTAGGTATGTTATTGTTATATCATTATTGCAGTTTATCTATAGTAATATAATATGATATAATAGATATCTGGTTGCTATCCAGTATCCAGCCAATCTGTCCATTTCTTTTTATAAGAAAAGTGTGACAAGTTAGTACCAATACATACACATCTAAAAAAAAATTAAACACAAATCCGTAAAATTTATTTGATTCAGTGTGTAGTATTTGCCTAAATATAAGAAACCATTATGTTTGCCTTAGAATGAATAGAATGGGTTCAATTCAAAGCACAAACTTCCATTGACATTGATAAAACCACAGAAATAGTAATAATAAGACAATAGAAATGAATTAGTGCTCAATTACTTACAAAACCGATGTCGCCAAATTTTAACATATACGCATTAAGCGACCGAAACCTGCAGCCGTATTATGAACATACACAATGCACAATGATATCTGTTTCACATTGCATTGCTTGGCGAGTTTGTCATGTCGCGTATTACGGTAGAACAAAAGCAGCAATGGTAATTGTACAGTAGGAAAAGTAATTAATGAAAGTTTACAAAGGTAAATATCATAGTAAAGTATTCATCTAGATGTAAATTAGTTAAAACAGTGATAATTAATAAATAATCATCTTACCTGTAGTGTATGTATATATACCAACTTGTCTCGAGTCTCTGTCTTGGTCATTAAATTGACACTGAGCACAATATTTTAGCAGCATAACTGGTCATTAAATTGACACTGAGCACAATATTTTAGCAGCATAGCTGGTCATTAAATTGACAATGATCATGATATTTTAGCAGCATCGCTGGTCATTAAATTTGTGTTCACAATATTTAATTGACATTGTACTGGTGTATTCTAACGGAATACTGTACGAGTACAAGCAAAGTACTCGAATTTAGAATCATTTGGTTTCAGTTAGTCTTACTAGTAAAGAATTTAATACATTGAAATTTCAACATGTCGCAACTCATACTGGAGGAATTTGATTGTGAGGGGAAACCTACATCTGTAGGTACTAGATGGGAGCGTTGGAAATGTGCACTCTTTATTTACCTAGGATCAGGTATAGTGAGAAAAAGAGAGCATGTTTGTTACACTTTGGCGGGCTTGAATTGCAAGAAATCTATTATAATATCCCTGAATACCTGCTGAAGGGATTGATTTTTTTCATATAGCTATAGAAAAACTGGATGCATTTTTTGCACCAAAACAAAGTAAGATATATGAACACCATCTATTTCGGTTGATTAAACAAGAACAAAATGAAAAAATCGACAAATTCTTAATATGATTAAGACAGAATAAATGTGAATTTAAAGATTAGGATGATCAAATTATTGACCAAATAACAGAGAAATGTTCCTCTAGGGAACTTAGAAAGAAAATATTACAAACAGGAGATTCAATAACTTTAAGTAATATAGTGGTAGAAGCAAATGCTCTCGAAGCACTTAATCGACAGATGGCAGAATTTGGAAGTAACGGCGTAAATCAAGAGATTAATAAAGTGGATACAAGTCAAAAAGAGGGAGACAACAACAAAAAACAAACAATTGAATGCGGGAGGTGTGGGAGTTCCAAGACATGCTTCCCATGATAGTAAGTGCCCAGCGAAACATAAAGACTGTTTGAAATGTGGATTAAGAGGACACTTTAGACAATATTGTAAAACAAGACAGCAATTGAAAAGGAAACACCAAGTAAGTAAAAATAACAATAATGACAAAAACCGTAAGAAATATAAAATGAATCATGAAAGAGAAGGCGCTAATTTAAATTAAGAAAAGTGCAGTTTCTAGGACATGAACTATCAGACGAAGGCATTAAACCATTAGCAAAATACGTATCAACTATCCAAAAATTTTGACCTCCTATGGAGGTAGGTGAGCTTCAGAGCTTTTTGGTACTAATAAACTTGGGAAATGGATACCAAATTTAGCAACTGTAACGGAACCCTAAAAGAATTGTTAAAAAAAAAAAAAGGTGCCGTGTTGGTTCAAATAGATAGTAAAAGACCTCGAATCATTGCTTATGGTCATAAAACGTTAACCAATTGGGAAAGGCGATACTGCCAAATAGAAAAAGAGGCTTTGGCTCTTGTTTGGGCAGTAAAACATTTTAATATATTTCTGTACGGCAAAGAGTTTGGGTTGGATCATAAACCACTTGAGATCATATTTGGTCCCGAGTCCAAACCATGTGCTATAAGTGAGAGGTGGATATTACGTCTTCAAGCTTACAAGTTTATGGTCATTTACAAACCTGGGAAAGACAACACCACAGACTGTTTATCAAGACTGTGCCAATTTGAAAATTTCTCAATGGATAGACTGGAACTTCACATACACCGAATTGTAGATTGTACAAGACCTGTAGCTATTACGTTGAAGGATATTATAGTGTTCAAAAGAAGATCAGGAAATACTGAAGGTGAGAGAAGGCTTGTACAATAATAAATGGGATGAAATAGTAAAAACTTACGAATTTTTTCAAAACGAGATATGTTTTATGAGGGAATTTTATTTAGAGGGATTATATATTTAATTTATATATTATTATATTTAATTATATATATATATATATATATATAAATATATATATATATATATATATAAGAAACTACGCAGCCTAGTCCTAACAGCAGCGCATGAAGGACATCCAGAGATAGTGTTAATGAAGGCTAGGCTAAGAACCAAAGTATGGTGGCCAAGGTACGATAAGGATGCCGAAAACTTGGTGAAGTCTTGTACAGGCTGCACACTTGTATCGGCACCAAATCCTCCGAATCCAATAAAACCATTACGAGTGAATTTGAGTTACCATATGAGCCGTGGGTGGACATAGCTATCGACCTGATGGGTTCTATATCAAGCGGTGATTATATATTAGTTGTGGACTACTTCAGTCGGTATAAAGAAGTGAAGATATCTCGCAAGATCACCAGTGCAGAGATCATACAAAATCTCAAAGAAATTTTCAGTCGATTGGGTAACCCGATGACAATAACTGCTCATAATGGAAGGCAGTTCTGCAGTGAAGATTTCAAATTATTCTGCACTGAAAGAAATATTATCTTGTTGCAAAATCAGGAAGTTGAGCGTCAGAATCGAGACATTTTAAAGCGCCTTAAAATATGCCAAGTCGAGAAAAAGAACTGGCAGGAGGGTTTGTTGGATTATATGATTATGTACAATAGTACACCTCATAATGTGACCGGAAAAACTCCAGTGGAACTGTTCTTTAAAAGGCAGTTCTGTGATATACTTCCAATGGTTGCAGATATTACTCGTAAACTTGAAGACTGAGGTCAGGGATCAGGAAAAGAAACAAGCGGGAAAGGAATATGCAGACAAGAAGGGATGTAGTGTATGTATATATATACCAACTTGTCTCGAGCGCATACGTCATAACGTGGGGGTAACGAAAGTGGCAGTCTCGGTCCGACAGTCGGCCCGGTAACACGTGTGGTGGTGCGTTGACGAGCCAAGATAAGTTGTTAATAAACAGTGAACAATACATTACCGATGAAATTTTGTGCCTTTATTACTTGAATTACACATCCTTGATGAATTTTTACTACTGATTATTCTGCAATTCACCATTATAACATAAAGTCACGTACGACGTTCCCGTGCAACTAAATCACAAAATGGTGAATGATGTTCGTCGACTCCTCATAGCGGCGACAAGGTCATGCGTCTATGCCACTTCTATCGTCTTATTATTACGATTTCTGTAGATAAAACCCACTATATGTCAGTAATAGTCAAGAATGTATTAACACCAACATCTATTTTAATCCAGGTTTAGCCAGAAGAGTTGGCGCTAAGATTTTAATAGCAAGTACTTCTGAGGTATACGGAGATCCCATGGTACACCCTCAACCTGAATCTTATTGGGGTCATGTCAATCCTATAGGTTAGTATTATATAATTCATCAATCATCATATTCACCATAGCTACAAGTTTTTTGAAGTCCACAGCTGGATATTTGTGTTCAGCATAGGAAAATTAAGCCATAATCGTTGTTAACATGGGTAATTTCCAGGACCAAAATCGACTCATATTTATTCTTTCTTTCCACCAACTTTGCGAATGTTTTATTTTGTATTACGTTTGTAGTATGTACCTATGCCAGGCAGGATTTATGAGCACAGAGCCAATACCCTCACATTGTTGATGATTTGGTTTCAGCATATTGGATAGATATATTTTGTCATCAGTTGGTCAGTTGAAGTTACCATTTAGATAAAAAAAAACTTACATTTCACTATTTTTAAACCCATCATCTAATACTAAATTGTATAAAATACAACTATTTACCAATGCATATGAAAGTATATATGGTGTGGATATAATATATCCACACAATATACTTTCATTAATTCAATAAGTAGCATAATATATGCCATATTATGGCATATATAATGCTAATTATTACAAAAAAAAATTTTGTATGTCTATTTGTTTGTTCCGGGTAATCTCCTGACGGCTGAACCGATTTTGACGGGACTTTCACTGGCAGATAGCTGATGCCTTTTTATTTTAGAAAAAAAAATTGGGTACCACGCAAAAAAACTAAAGCCCATGAAATCCAACCATAAATTTCACGGGGACGAAGTTGCGGGGAAAAGCTTGTATTTCATAAATGTTATCCTTACATATTGAACTACTAGCTGGCCCTGCAGACATTGCTTTGCCCTTTCTGGTAGGTAGCGCCATGAGATTTACATCAGTCCATATTTTGGAATTTTCTATTTGGCACTAAATTTCAAATGAGTGATTTTGGTCTAAATATATATGATAATTTGTTTATAACTTAACTACAGTGTCACCTTTTATATCCAAGCATAGCTATAAACCATTGTCTCGACAAAGCAAATATATTGTGTGAATATTACGTCAATTTGTCAAGTTGCTCAGAGGTTACATGATCACTAACAGATGTACCAACAATTATGTATATAAAGATTTTTTTCAGGTCCCCGAGCATGTTATGACGAAGGTAAAAGAGTGTCCGAAACATTAGCTTATTCTTATGCCAAACAAGAGAAGGTATCTGTAAGAGTAGCAAGAATCTTTAATACCTATGGACCAAGGATGCATGTATCTGATGGACGTGTCGTGTCAAATTTTATTATGCAGGCATTGCAAAACCTAACCATTACAGTGAGTTCATGAATTCCTTACTACTCCTATACTTCTTTGCATATACAGAATGGGTCCCACATATATGCAATAAATGAAACCACAAGTAATACTAGTCCGTAGAAGTGTAGAAAAATTAAATATTAAATTAAAACCCGTAAAATAAAAAAGTGCAATTTTCAAACAAAATAAATATTAAAATAAATTCAGTAAAAGTGAACACTCTGTTTAGACAACGTACCTTGACCCCTTGGAAGAGTGACAACGTTGCACGCGGGTGGCACGCCGACAAAAGACACCGCTGTCGATATGTCGCAATACCAATAGTTTGCACTGCGTGGCAACGTTGCTTTTTAATGTTCAAGGATTCAAGTTCATTGAATCATTGACTTAGTGACCCAATTCTATAGAGTTTTCAAATTTGCTTAAAATTAAAACTCTACTTTTTGACCTAATTACTGGACCGATTACGTTCATTTTTTGTATATCGTCAGCAAAGGCGATAACAAGTATATGGTTTCATTTATTGCATATATGTGGGACCCATTCTGTATTTTATCTCATTGTTAATATAAATACAATCCAAGTAGAGTATTATATAATTACAATTATCAAATTATTAATAACATAGACTTAATCAATAAATATAATGTAATTTTTTTTTGACAAACTAGTTCAAATATAGAATCATTCTTACTATTATAATTAAACTAATAATTAGTTTCTTATTAGTGAATGGAAGTAATTTCCCTTTTTCAGGTTTATGGTAATGGAAAACAAACCCGCTCTTTTTGTTATGTATCAGATCTAGTTGATGGACTTTTAGCATTGATGGCGTCTAGTTATTCCTTGCCTGTTAATATTGGAAATCCTGTAGAACACACTATAGAAGGTACTGTTCTGTTTATTTTTCTTATTAAATAATTACAAAGAAGAAGTAAGTAATATGTATTACTTGATTTGAGTTCAAGTTAAACTTTTTTAATTTTTAGTTAAGTTCAAGTAAAACATGCTTTTTTGAGGTAGGATTATGTGAGCACATAATCCTACCTCAAAAAAGCATATTTTATGGTGTGGTATGTGTTTATGTTTGTAATGTTTGTCTGTTTTTTTATGACCTATAACAGCCGTGACAGCCTGATGGTTTTGAGTGTTAAGTGTGTATTCTAAGTTTTACAAGCCACATTGCATTAATAATACTACCATACCATATATCGCTTGCAGCTTATTCTGAGTCTTAATAGCTCACTGCAGTATGCTTCTTTGCTTTTGTAAGTAGTTGTTTTCATTACTATTCTTCCAGTTCACTGTGCATAGCATTATCAGTTTAATGATAAATCTTAGTGTCGCACTATTCAGGTCATTGTTAAGCGTAATGTAGTCACTACTAAAGTCGGTTGCCTTAACTGATCTTCTTACAACATGCATATTTATACCATTATTACATTTATTGGATGAATTGTTTTATATTGAGCTCCAGAATTTTGTACATCAACTATCATTGCCATAGTAAATTTGCACATAAGTTATCCTAACTATAAAGAAGTATGATTTACATCATAATAATGTAGACAACCTATAATTACTGCTTTTACACAAATTGACGTACTTATTTGCAGAATTTGCAGTTATAATAAAAAATCTAGTCCCTGGATGTCGCAGCACAGTTGCGACCGGCGCTGCAGTAGAGGACGATCCGCAACGTCGCCGTCCTGATATTACATTGGCTAAGAATCAATTACATTGGTCGCCTAAGGTAACCTAAAATTTTGCGAAAATATACAATGCTATACAAATAAGAATAGGAATGACCTTGCGCCATATTGTGACTTAACGGTCACAATATGGCGAACGGTCACAATAGAACCATGAATGAAAAATTGTAACCTGAATCTATCACTGCAATTTCGCTAATCACTATCTGAATAGTCATCATCGCTGCTGCTTTACCTGCTTTGATTTATCTGGGTATAATTAATATTTATTAAAAATACTATTTTAAAGTTTTAAATTTGTATACATAAAAAAATTTAATATTAAATATAAAAATAAAAAGCAGTAAATTATTTTAAAACCAATTATGATAAATTATTAGATTCATTAAATAAATGGAGAAATTATAAATTCTTTCAAATTACTCAGGTCATTAACATTACTATTCTTCATTGAATAGTATTGTATGTGATAACATTATGATAGACAATTAGTGCTCAAACGATATATTAGTTATATACCTACTTGGCTTCAAATGAACGTTGTAATAAGGGAACAACCTGTGCCCTTTTTAATCGACTTAACTTAATATGATTGAATGATTTTAATTTAATATTTTCCCATAACTTCCAACAAGTACAGGTAATCAAAATATTTTCAAAAGTCTATTGGTTCCAAAGTAATAAAGTGTTACCTTTTTTCAATAAAAAGTCCAAAAACCAATCGCTTTTTATCTGCAAAAGTAATAACTATTTTAAATGGTTTTCATAAATATGATATGATGAAATATTCTGCCAAAATTATTACGTATTACGAAAAAAATCTCTGGCTTCTTTCAAATCCATATGCCTAGGCATATATGCTTGTCGGTTAAGGATACTGCAGCATTGATTTGCTTTGTCACTCATTCCTACCTTATTTTTTTTTTCAAATCCTAGCGAACCACATATTAAATAGGTCAGAAGTATTACAGTATTAGGTAATCATGAAAATGAATGGAACCATTCATTCAAACTTCTTATTATAAAGATACCAATAAAATAAAAGCAAAAGCCTTTAATAGTATTAATCACTTCTGGCCTTATTGATTAACTACCACGGAACTTTATAATTTATGTAACTTTTATTAAAAATAATTTATATTCTCACAACAATCTTAATGTTACGTTAAAGTCGCGCGTGCACACACACACACACACACACACACACACACACACACACACACACACACACACACACACACACACACACACACACACACACACACACCACACACACACACACACACACACACACACACAAACACACACACACACACACACACCACACACCACACACCACACACCACACACACACCACACAAACACGCACACAAACACGCACACAAACACACACACAAGCACGCGAACGCACGCACGCACACACGCACACACAGCGTACTCGCTCTCATGTACGAGTTCAAAATCATTCATGTTGTATGGAAGGGAAGAAGAAGGGCCAGGGGAAGGACAGGTCTAAAAGTACTAAGCAATAATATATTCTTCAATATTTTTATAATTTTTAGGTTTCTCTACAGGATGGTCTTCAGAGAACAATCGACTACTTTAAAGAGGAATTATCACGTACAACATTTTACAACAATCAAACATACATAGATTTCAAAGTCAAGACTTCTCATTAAGAAGGTATGTCTTGCTAGAATCATCTATTAATGTGATATTAGGATTATATACTATTGAATTAACTTATCTGAAATATTCATTTAAGGTTTAAAACTGTGACAAAATTATAATCACAGCTTAAAGACCGTACAGTTATGAAACGCCTTTGATGTCAGGCGATGCTGCCGCCCGCGTACATATTTACACTGCCAGCGTGTATGCTAGGGGTTGTCACGAACATTTTTGGATATTTTATAATACTGATTATCATTATTAATATTATGTACATACTTATAAGTTAAAACATTTATTGAACAAGATCATTTTTATTGTTACAAGACAAATTAACATTTATAAGTGCGGCATTGACTATTTTCGTGACATTTTCCTTTAAGAGATGTTTTCAGTTTTTGATTGTTAAATTTAATTATGTAGTGTATTCGTATTCAGATAAACAGTTTTATTAAAAAAATTAGGGAAAACATAAGCATGGCCGTCATTTGAATTCAGTTTTACTTAGTATCTCATATAACTATAACAGTAATTCATCATTATAGATATATTTTTCGAAAATAGCACTACAAATTGGTTTAATAAGTACTATGAAACACGCTCGCGCCAAAAGCATGTTACATCTATCGGACTCAGTGAAGTCCGCTAACACAAGATCAGTCCGCCCCTTGCCCCACAAGACCCCCAGCGTTGCTGTGCATGATTACATTTGTTTCCCAACTGTAAGGTGTTAAACTGTGATTATATTAGCACACAATAGGAATTCCAATTTAATTCTGCAAACAGTTTTTTGAATAGCATTTGCTACTACAGCATGTATAAGAAATAAATACACATGAACAAACAATATATTATTGTGTGAACCAATTAAGTCCTATACAATTTAAGCATCTTGATATTTCATTTTAGTGAATGTTTGTTAGTAAAAAATGTTAATAAATATTTCAACATTATATTATATAGAAAAAAATCACCTACTAACGATTGTAGCATTGTAGCAATATGAAGAGAGAAAAAAAATACATTCAGTCATAATTAAAAAATATAATCTTCCAATTTTTTGACAAAACTTTATGAACACATTTAATTACTTTACAAACTGTGACAGGTAATTGTTGATTTTATATGGTGGTCAAAGGTCACTGTATACGTAACGGCGTTAGAACGTGGACGGAGCGTGGCAATACGGATGTTTAATGCATACACGCATCATGATAGTGACACGAAACTAACGTGCTGGTGTTGTGAACAATAAGATGGAATTTTCATTTCAAGAATTGGCATCAACTGATACTCTCTGGAAGAAAAACACAATACTCTGTACAGAAAGGGAAGTTCACCTTGGGTGTGCAAGAGTGACGTGCAAAAGCTTGATAAGATTATACGCATTCTATTACTTTTCTTCATTCAGTTTGCTTTCTTGATAAATGCGACACGAGAATCACTACGAGATTTCAGGAGCGACTGCACATGCGCCGGAGTGTTGACGTTGCATAAAATTTGTAACCTAAATCCTCAATTTGGAATTTTGACAAGTATGCGCACCAATTGTAGGTTTCCAGGACTTTATGTTCGTAGCGAAGTGATTTGTGATGCGTGCATTACTGCCACTGACCTCTATTTATACAATTACGCTGGACTGGCTATACCATACAAAATGTCTGTGCCGATTTGACGCGCCACCATTTTATTTTGTACTTTTAAACTAAAAAAACAAAAGTAATAATGAGTGTGCGTAATATGTAAAACTCGTTACCAAACGGAAAGTGGTGTAAAATTCCACAAGTAGGTGAATTTACAGCTAATATTAAACAAATTAATACTATTTGATAATAAAAAAGTACTTAAAAATTTGTTACTAATTTTAATATCATAATTACCAACATATTCGGTTACTGCGTTTTGATAAACAATAAAATTCAATAGGTTGTAGAGTTCCCTGTCTATAATACTTATCGATGTTCTACCCATATCTGTTAACAACCAAAGTCGCCGACAATAGATAATTATCAAATGTTTATAAATTAACAGGTTGAACCTAGACTAAAATTATGGCTTAAAAGCATAAATATTGTGAATTAGCGTCCGAAACAAAATGATCATCTTTCTTCTAAACATTTCACAAACAACTGTTTTATTGGCCATGAGAAACGCACCACTTCAAAAAATGCAGAATATCGACAATATTTTCTGGTAGTACCAGTAAGTATAAAAGTACTAGGTTATTATTTCGAATGTTTTTTTTATGTATTTTCTTCTCATTTTCCCCCAAACTCAAGGGCCATAGCCAAGTGTAGAAAGGTCGCCTGATGATGATTTTGTGTTTACAAAAGGTAAATTTGTTAAATCTGTCTAAATATGACCAATTTTGTATATCAAGGGAATATAGGGATGTTACGGATATGATATTTCGGATATGGATACGGATACGGATATGGGAATAATATTATATCGGTTTCGGTTTCGGTTACGGATATAAAATTATTTCGGATTATCCGTTAGTTTCGGATCGGATAAGATTTTTGAGGTATTTAAGTAAAATACAAATAAGTAGGTAATCATTTGGCTTTATATCTTGGTTATCATTTGGTATTACAATCAGTCATTTATTCAAGTAATTAACAATTTTATAAGAATAGTATACTAATTAATGTAGCTACCTACATATTTTTAAGTTATCTACTTAAAAATGCTATTACAAAATTATTATAATCAAAAACAATGCTATTAGTTTTTTTTTCTATTATATTCTTCAATATATTTCTAGGAACTATTACAACGCATAAATCAGTCTTCTTAAGTCTTTGCATATTGAAGAATAAAAACTAAAATCTGAACATAACATAACAAAATATTTACTTGTCTTTCACTTAATGATTTCTTTTAATAGTCGAAACTAAGCAAAGGTAAATTATACTTAACAAAAAGCAATTTCGCAGCCTTATCACCAGAAAGTCGATTTCTTAAGGGGTCATAAATTAACCCAGCTGCACTGAAAAGCTGCTCACTTGGTACACTTCCAGGAGGTGGAGAAAGGTACTGTCTTACTAAATCACTTAAGCAATGGTACTTGGTATGCATTTTCCACCATAAAAGTGGATCTTCATTGAGTGTCAATCGTTTCTCCCTGTTGTATTCATTTAGTAATGTCTTTTTAACAATAAATTGATTGTGCACATCATCACCACAATCTATGTTTTGCTCTTCCTCGTCACTTAAGCTTAATATTTCAGCTAGACAAGATTGAATGTGTGAATAGTTGCTTGAGCTTGTTGTCGGAATCTCATTCCGTGATCTCTTAGGTGAAGAAGGACCTTCATCACGAGAAGCTTTTGAACACCCAAGAATCCCCAGAATCTCAGACTGTACCTGTTCCTTCGTAATTTCAGTAAAAAACTTGAGTTTAAACCGTGGATCTAGATAAGTAGCTATTGTATATATTTTATTATTTTCAATATCCTGAAATCTGACATTGATGTCTTGGATCATTTTCGTAATCATTAATTTGAAGTTCTCAGAAGTCTCTTCTTTACTCTTCTCTGTTTCTAGTGTGTTTTTAAGAGTATATATTAATGGAATCACTGATGCTATTGTTGCAGTAGCACTACTTAACTCCTTTGTAATTTCTTCGAACGGCTTTAGTATTGCAACACACTTTTTCAAGTCGAGCCATTCATCAGCATTAAGAATTGGTATATCATGCGCGCCCGAATACAGTACTAAGGAGTCTTTTAATGTCAATATTCTTTTCATCATATAATACGTCGCGTTCCATCTGTGAAAAAAGAAAAAACAATGTCAAATCAAATAAAAAAAAATTACATAATAGATAGGTGTATAAAATAGAATAAAAAAATCTCACCGTGTGGAACATTCCTGAATTATACTTAGTCCTGATTGGTTCAGTCTTTCTGTTTGAATTTGTTTCAATTCATTTTGCGCGATTAGGGAGTGATTGAAGTGAGTTGCAATTTTCTTGCACTTCGTAATTACTGACGAGAGAAATTCTTCGATTTCCATCGTTGATCGCACACATAATTGTAGTTGATGAATAGTACAGTTTGCATCAGTGAAATTGGCCATATTCATAGCTTTTATCATATTAGATCCTCTGTCGCGTAAAATACAATGAACTGATTCCGTGCTTAAGCCCCAATCTTTCAAAATATTGTTTAAATTATTTGCTATAATTTCACCTGTGTGCCGACCCTCTAATTGTTCACACTTGAGTATTATAGAAACTCTTTCATATTTATTGGTGATGCCATGAGCAGTAAGACTAAGTAACGATACATTTGAGCTGGGCTCTGACCACACATCTGTAGTAAATGACAACTTTTCAAATTGCTTAAGTAATCCCAGCACCTTTAATTTAATTTTATTGTATATATCAGTACACAGCAAATTAGTAAAATACTGCCGACCTCTTAGATGATAGCGTGGTAATGCTGCCTGCATTAATCTTTGGAAGCCGACACCTTCCACAAAGTTAAATGACAAGTTTTGTAATGCAATCATTTCAGCTACTAATTTATCAATTTCTTTTTTGCTTGACATTACTTTCATCCCAGGCGCCTTTATTTTTTAAAGAATCTGTTATTGACAGCTGTTTTTTACACTCTTGTAATGGTGTCAGCTGTTTCGTGGTATGTGGTATTTGTTGGATATCTTTTTCTAGTAACAAAAGTTCTTCGTACTTATCACCGTGTTTTGATTTAAGATGAAGTTTAAGCGAAGTAGTGCCACCTCCTTTTCGTGAAAAGGTTTTATCACACTGTTTACATTTTGCGGAATCTGCATTAACTTGATTAAAAAATCTCCAAATTAAACTAGACTTAGGTCGCATTTGGTCCAGATTAGGTAAACAATTTAATAACACAACACTTTTCTTTCACTTCGTCGAACTAAACTAATTACTCGTACCTAAATATAAAACTGACTGACGGGACTTATGTATGACTGCAACATAAATAATAAACAAACAATGCAAGAGTAAGAGACACGCGCCGCTAATGTAAAAAAGAAACCTGTTATAACAAGTCTCATTTAGACTCAGCCCCTACCCTTATCCGAAATTATCCGAAACTTTTATATCGGATTCGGTTACGGTTACGAATAGTTTTTTATTTCGGATATCCGATAGTTTCGGTTACGGTTACGGAGCTCCATAACATCCCTGGAATAAATATATGTAAGTGCAAAATTAATAACGTCCTCAGTAAGTTTAGGTGAGAAATAACTCCTCCCTGAACGGGTTCCCGCCTTGTCATGGTGGAGGTTAGTGGCCGTGGTTTGGTAACCCGTTCTAAAAGTAAGGAACTCACATGGCTGGCCCGAGGTCGTCACTCTGAGTGGACTTGTCGAGCCCTTGGATGTGTATTAAGGGCTGAGACTAGAAGAGATTCCTTTCCCTGTACCGCTGCAGTCGAGGTGGAGTCGCAATGGAACATTGGTATGGCGATTAGCGATGCGCCACTCTACTATCCTCAGACGTGACTTGCTGGCCGTATGAGTAAGCTTAAAGTCGCTCAGCGGGCTATGGAGACGTCTATGCTCGGGGTTTCTCCGAAAGTAGAAAAATCCAAAGTAGAACCAAATTAACCGACATCGTCCAACGGATTAGTAAGCTGAAGTGGCAATGGACCGGGCATATACAGTGTGTCTGGTCACGACCTAGCGATAATTTAAGGTTACAAAATATACCTAATTTCATCGACGAAAACGCCCATATATGGGGGTCTACGCCCCCTCCTGTCGGAATGGCCGCCATTAGATTTTTTTTATTCTTGTAGATACCTCTGCCAAAAGATGCAGATTTCTCTGGACAGAAAGGTCCTACAGATGTAAAAAAATGTTATTTAAAAGGTAAAAATAGAATCTATCAAATAAAAATATACATCATGGAAAGTTTTCCCTACAAAATATCTTAAAACATTTACAATGCTAATTTAAGTAAAAAAAATTGACTATTTTTTTTTTCTTAACATACTTCAAAAACTAGCACATTGATACTAATTTTTTAATACTGTCCTAATACTTAAGGATATTACTTACAAATTGACATTAAAATTATTGTTCTTAATTGCATAACTCGAGAGTTAGGGCTGTTTGAATATGACCCTTTTGCGAGGGTCATGTATGTAGAGCCTCATATGAGCGCTATTAATTTTCGATAATGGATTAAATAAAAATACACTATAACTTTTAAGAAACGTAATGGCATTAAGTACTATTATTAATTTAATAATTGTTCAAAATGTCCACCTCTATTCTGTAGACAGGCTACTGATCTTCAGCCATTTGTTGTGTGGCCCTTGATATTAATACTATGTCGGATCTTATGTCATCCGCAATCGTCATTATTTTGTCGAGCAGTTCTTGTCTGCTATTTGGGACTGTAGCATAAACCCTCTGCTTCATCCATCCCCATTAAAAATAATCCAGAGGTGTTACATCCGGAGAGCGAGGTGGCCAAGCTACCGTTCCACCACGTCCTATCCATGGTGAATAATTTTCATTAAGAAAAGCTCTCACAGCGCGTGCGTAGTGAGCTGGTGCACCGTCCAACTGTAGCCACGTGCGCCTTCGGTTGATCACTGGTAATTCCACCATGATTTCTCTAAATGTGTTTCTTAGAAAATCTAAAAATCTTAGGCCATTCATTGTATTGGTTAATTCAATTGGTCCAATTAATTTGTCATCAATCATAGCCGCCCACACATTTACTGAAAATTCATGTTGAAATTTACTAGGCCTTACTGCATTTGGATTTTCTTGCATCCATAAATGCTGGTTTCTATGGTTTATAATACCAGCTCTTGTAAAAGTCGCCTCATCGGTCCATATGATTTTACAAAATGTCGGTTGACGTCGCACACAACCGTTGAGCCACGAGCAAAAAGTGGCTCGCACAGCATAGTCTAGCTCTCGAATATCTCGTACGCGACGAAAATGGTACGGATGCATGCCTTCGCGTTTTAAAATTTTCCACACAACCCATTTTGACAAATGCAGCATCATTGCTATTCGCCTTACACTGAGCCTGGGATCTCGGTAAATAAATTGAAGAACTTCTTCTTCTGCTTGCACTGACACTATGCGGGAGCGTTCATTTGGCGGCCTTTGGATGCCATATTGCGACAATCTTAAGTTAATGTCAACAAAAGTTTGTCGACTGGGTGTAAGCCGGTCGGGATACCTCTGACGATACATTCGTACGGCGGCAGCAGCGCTTCCATTACATCTGCCATACACGAAATGCATGTCAGCTATGTGATGAGACGAATAGTTAGACATGTTTTTATCCGAAAAGTACGTAGTCACTGCAAACTACAACAAACTCAGCAGAATATCTCGGTGAAGGAATAGCTCACAAAACGGAACGGAATAGTCGCGATCGCAACGCAGAGCGGAGGACAACTGATTTGACAAACATTTATCTTCGATACCTGCGTTGGTCAAACATGATTTTTTGTCCTACTTATTCACCGCCTAACAATAATACAAATCATTTTCCGTCCTTGTCACATAAACCCTATTCAATGTAGCAGGTAGCTCTACATGGGTTTGGGACCGTCGCAAAAGGGTCATATTGAAACAGCCCTAACTCTCGAGTTATGCAATTAAGAACAATAATTTTAATGTCAATTTGTAAGTAATATCCTTAAGTATTAGGACAGTATTAAAAATTTAGTATCAATGTGCTAGTTTTTGAAGTATGTTAAGAAAAATAAAAAAATAGTCATTTTTTTTTACTTAAATTAGCATTGTAAATGATTTAAGATATTTTGTAAGGAAAACTTTCCAAGATGTTTATTTTTATTTGATAGACGCTATTTTTACCTTTTAAATAACATTTTTTTTTACATCTGTAGGACCTTTCTGTCCAGAGAAATCTGCAGAGAATCTGCTGGCAGAAGTATCTACAAGAATAAAAAAAATTAAATGGCATAAGGGGGAGCGTAGACCCCCATAAATGTGTTTTCGTCGATGAAATTAGGTATATTTTGTAACCTTAAATTATCGCTAGGTCGTGACCACACACTATATGGTTCGCAGAACCGATAAGCGATGAGGAAGAAAGGTTCTCGAGTGGCAGCTTCGTACCGACATGCGAAGTGTAGGACGTCCCCCCACTAGATAGTGTCAACCTCACTAGTATTTTTTTCACCTAATTTTATATAGCTATCTCATGCAAGATTTTTTTATATGTACTACTACAAGTTAAAGTTTTTAATAAATTATTAAATTATTAACCTAGTAAGACATGCAGGAAGTTGATGAATGCAAGTGACTCAGGACCGTGCTTTGTGGCATTCCTTGGGGGAGGCCTATGTTCAGCAGTGGACTTGTGAAGGGCTGTAATAATGATGAATGATGATGGCATTATATTAATCATCATCCAGAGCCACCTACATCCATCGACTTCCTGCATGTCTTACCAGGTCGTTACTTCATTTAGTGGGGGGTCGCCCAACACTTCGCCTACCGGTACGAGGCTGCCACTCGAGAACCTTTTTTCGCCAACGGTTGTCGGTTCTTCGAGCTACCTATATGGCCGGCCCATTGCCACTTCAGCTTACTAATCAAAAAGAATATGAAACGTAGAGGCCTACCCGTAACATCCATTCTATTTATTTAGGTACAAGGCGGCAAACGAGCACACCTGATGATAAGTGGATACTGTGGCTTATAAACATCTACATCTATCCCGGTTAAGAATTTGTGAATCGGGTAAAAATAATCTATTATTGGAGCATATGGTTTGTCATAAATAGAATAGACGTTACGGGTAGAGGCCTACCCATAACGTCCATTCTATTTATTTCGTAGACAGAGAAACCTATAGACAAATTGACGCCTTCTTTCGCATTCGCACACGAAAAAGATAGATTTATGCATACGTCTTGCATAGAAATGAGATAGAGCGGTGTGATTGTTTGTCCCTTTCTCCGTGCCGGTTTTTTTGTTTAGCAAACATTACAGTTTGCTAAACAACTGTAACAGCGTAGTGATTTAAGGAGTTTACAAGTTGATTTAAGTGAGAAAAAAGTGTTTTGTGAGCTTAAGATTGGTGCATTTTGTTCAGTTCAGTTCTTAGAACAATTAAAATTTTTATCTAAATGTGTTTAAAAGTCATAAAGATTATTGTATAACCTAAAAAATTCGTTATCGTCCTTTCTCACTCGAGGCCGTCTACGATTTATTTAGATATAGGTAGGGTATAGAATTTCTATCGATATAGTTAGTCACACTGTCGTATCTCTACTATTAGTTCCGTGGACGTTCACATCTGCTGTCAGCGCCAAAATGGCGCAAATCAAATCGCCTCATTATGTCGCGATGTATAGCCAGTCCATCCAGATCCAGAGGTCATTGATTACTGACAATTGTTATGAGAGACAGACACAAGGTACAAAAATAATATGTAGAACATAATGTTGCATTTTGAGAATTGTATACACAATGTTACTGGAACCGATTATGACTGCATTGTCGGTTCCTATGTTTGGACTTTTAAAAACTGTATCAATGCTGATACTATTCTAACAGCATTAGAAATCTCTTGTTGTTGTAGTATTGTAGTTTTCTCATTCTTTTCCATAATAATGTAGATCTTTCTTTAACTGATAAGTTAATTTCACACATTCACTATTATTAAAAACTGTGTATTAAAAAAATTGACAGAATGTTCTAGTTTTAATGCAGTTTTATCTGTTTTTTTTTATTGGAGCTACCGCTGTCAACATTTAAAAATCGGATGATTTATTTGATTTAAAAAAGTCGCCTGAAGTTTAATTAAATTTTTTTTCCATCTAAATCCAGAATTGTATCTGCTGAAAGTTTATAATATCCGCTATTTCTTGCGGTAAAGTCGCCAAAACAGCAACTCTAATACACAAAACTACGGAAGGAGCTGGGCTTGTTAAACATCTTTGCCAATTATGCTGTTCTCCAGTGCGTGTCACGTCCCCATCCCGTCCGTGCGCCCGTGACGCATGAACTTTTAATCGAAAAATTGTTGTCCAGTTCCGTCCAGCTTTAACACGTTACGTATATAGCCGACCTTTCATTTAGCTATTTTATTATAAATTTATTTTAAGAAATAATTTAAAGAGCTCTATTGTTGTGTTTATTATATGAATAAAATGACTTTTCCTTATTTTCGTGTTTGATTTTATCTCTTGTATATGATGTAATTGACTAGACAATATAAAAAGTAGGCCAAGAGCGTGTCGCGGGCCACGCTCAGTGTAGGGTTCCGTAGTTTCCCGTCCGTCACAGTAAGTGTTCCCGCTTATGAGTTTGTACAAAAACTGTTGTTTCCATCCAAGTTCAAAATAATTTTCCTAGAAAGTCCTTGTAAAGTTCTACTTTCCAGATTTTTTTCATATTTTCTAAACTTATGGTTCAAAAGTTAGAGGGGGGGGGGACACATTGTTTTTTCCTTTAGGAGCGATTATTTCCGAAATTATTGACATTATCAAAAAATGATTTTAGTAAACCCCTATTCATTTTTAAATACCTTTCCAACAATATATTACACGTTAGGGTTGAAATTAAAAAAAAAATCACTTCCCACTTTACATATAGGGGGGCTACCCTAATAAAACATATTTTTCCAATTTTTATTTTACCACTTTGTCGGCGTGATTGATACACATATTGGTACCAAATTTCAGCTTTCTAGTGCTAACGGTCACAGAGATTAAGCGAGGACGGACAGACGGACTGACAGACATGGCGAAACTATAAGGGTTCCTAGTTGACTACGGAACCCTAAAAAGTACAGGCTAAAAGTAAAAAGAATATATTAATTTTGTGTACCACTACAACACATGCTAGGCAATACATTCCAATTATAAAAATATGTTTTTCTCTTAAAGTCTTCAGTATTACAAAGCTTTTCTCCGTGAGTGTGCACTAAAATCTTGTACATTTCGAACATGTCACTAGGCGATTGCTTGTGCCGCACCAACATTGTTTTATTACAACCTCTTGATTTCCACTCGGTGTCAAATCTAATGTCATGAACCCTATTTATGTCTAGTGCAGCTGTCCATACACCCATGGAGACATCCTCTGAATTGTAATAACTGAAATTAAAAAATTTGTTAGTGTTGTTGTTGTGTTAAATTATATTTGAATATGTGGTGGTACTTAAAATTCAATAATGGTGCGTTCGTAAAAGGCAGGCTGTAATTTGAAAAGATATTTTTACTTGTTTTATGAAAATTGAGTCGAAAAGAACACTTAATATTCGCAACAAGTCAATCTTATTTGGAAAAACTTGATTAAATTGTATTCCATGCCTTAAGGGCAAAGCGCGTAGGTATGTTTTACTAGCGCCTAAAAATCAAGAATCCAACGTTTTGTCGCATGAAATTTTATCTAACAATCATATTGTATATATGTATAAATGGTATAAAAATCATTGTCAGAAAAATAAATAATTGTTGAACTTATTTTTTTTTAAATCGATTAATTGCTCTTTTAATATTAAAAAAAGTGGTTTTAGTAGCTTATGGTGTAGATTTATCACGTCTGCATAGAAGGGTAAACACAATAACTTTTGAAAATATTAATTGGGTGAATCAACTATTTTCTGTAATTAATCAACTTTTTGTGTTAAAAAATAAACTTAGTGTTTTTAGTTATTTAACTTTAAATATAGAAAACTTAACCATCTAGTTTTAATATTTTATGTAGAGCATCGAACTTTTTTAAATGCTATTAGGGTTTTTAACCAAGAATGTCAGAACTGACAACTTTAAATGTCTCTTGGGTAACGGACATATTATACAATATATCGTAAGCCAGAAAAGATTAATCAGTATAATATTTATTTTTTATTAATTTTTAGTTTAAAGGAATTATTATAGGTCTTTGAAACTAAACAAATCAGTCTTATTCTTAAAATAATGACGTGCCTTGTTTCTCTTGGGTCACTGGTAAAATAAATCAATACAAAATTTAACCCTTAAGTGCATATTGTATCAAAAATGATACGATGAGATAATCGATTCATAATTTTATTTTACTACGTACATACAACTACCCTGTATGTTAAATATGTCCTTCGCATTATCATCTTTTAATATGTTTAAGTAATCGATGACCATTTCCTAAATAATTTGGCGGTAACTATGAAAACTTTTTTCTTGTCTGTCATAACCTTTTTCGTGGGATTATAACTTTTTGTCGATTTATTTCGGAGTGATTTTAATACAAAAGCTGACCCCGAAAAATATTTAACATACGTACGAGTATACGAGTATACGACAACATACGAGTATTGTTTTTCCATTAAACATATATTTGAAGTGAATTTTACAGGTGTTTAATAAAAAAAATGATAATTTTAGTTGTATCAAAAATGATACATTATGCAGTTAGTAGTTCCCGTTTTTACATTTTCACTATTATAGTAGGCTTGTATGTTATGTGATTGTAACATGTTTTTCATCACCTTTGGAGCATGGAAAAAAGGAAATAAAAGAAAATGAGATCGAAGACCTTTTTAGCAAGATTGGAAGGTGGAACTTCTGTCGGAGGATGAAGCAGAGTCTTGATGATGATGAATTAGATTATCACCCAAACATTGAGGAAGTTCGTGCTGCTTTAGAAAATCACGAGGAAGAACAAATGTGTTTCGGTGATTCCCGTAACCATCAAATCCAGGATTAAGATGATCCACCACTTGTAAATGATGAAAATTATATGCGAAATGATGATGATCCTCCCCCAGTGAATGAAGGTAGTGGTTATGCACAAAATATTCCCAACAGGCGGCATATTACGATTGAAACTGCTAGACTCACATGGAGGAAACGTTCTTTAGAATTTTGGGAAGATGCATTCGTTTTCAGAACAAGACAGAGTATTCTCCCGAAGTTGTAGCCCTACAAACTCCATATCAATTTTTCAGTTATTTTTTACTGCTGATTTTTTAGATAAGTTTGTAAAATAATCTACTCGATCCAAAAAAACCCCGACCGACCAGATCCAATCACAATATCAGAGTTACAAAAGTACTTGGGAATTAATATCTTTATGTCAATTTTTTATTATCCAAATATAGGAGCATACTGGGGTAAAAAATACGGAATCATGCCAATTATACAGGGTATGACATTTAGATTTGAATAAATTCAAAGTATATAACATTTTTATGACAACTCCAAACGTCTGCCTATAAACAACCCCAATCACGATAAACTACACAAGCTGCGACCCGTGGTAGAACATCTGAATGAGAGTTTCCAGTATTCCTATAGATCAAAGGCTTTCCATAGAACATGAACACATAAAAATGCGTGTAACGAAAATGGATCACTACCCAAAACAACACCTCCCAAATATACCTCACAAATGGTAGTTCAAACATTATATGCTACGTTTTCTTGAAGTGTATGTAGGTGGGCATACAATATTGAACCTACGATGTAAAACAAACCTGACTTGGGAGTGGTTGGGAACACTGTTGTAAAATTGTTGAGGGTTGTTCCACGCAAAGTAAACCACATTGTTTACTTTGACAATTACCACACCTCTTTACCACATATGTATTACTTAGCTAAGGAAAGGATATAATGTCTGGGAACTATTCAACAAAATCGGTTAGGTAAGAAAGATACTTAAGTTACCATACAAAAAAATGACGTTGATGCATAATGTATCAAAAATGATACAAACTTTTTTTTTATTAAAATAACTTTAAAAAAATAAAAATATTTTTTTTCTTTATTTTTCCCTGATTTAATACCTAAACATCTAAATCATATGATTAAATGAGTTAAAACAAAATGTTCATGCACTTAAGGGTTAACTATAACTTTTTTTTAAATAACACATGTAAGCCAAACTAATACTATACTTACCGCCACTTATTCAACCATTATATAAAAATAAAATATACCTAAGATATTTTGTTCTATTTCAATGTCGAGAGATTCATTATAAAATTAGGGGACATTGTTGTTAGCCAGGAGACAAACTTAATGACTCAAGAGACATAACGATATACCAACCAAAATTAAAAGAAAAATAAAAATTTAAAATTGTTAATAATATAAAAATTCTGTCAAAAACTCTGTTGTGTAGTCTAAATAACAAATTATAATAAAAAGTCCAACAAAAAGCACAATCACAATTAGTAAAAATATATATAATAACGGAAACTTTAAAGTAGTGAAGTAAATAACGATTGCCAAATCACTTCTCTAAAACGTGTACATAATATTCAAATATGTAATACTGTTGGCCTCTTTTGGTAGTCGTTTTATGCTCAGCTAGAATTTATATTATGTCAGTGTAGTCGATGTCAGCTACGTCACTCTTTTCGAGAGGAAATGTGTTTTGTGAAATTTGAATCTTCATGCAAATCATCGACTACACAAGCATATTTAAAAATCTTACTTAAAAGTCCATCTGTCTCACCTCTTGGTTCTCTTTTTTGTTACAAAGTTGTGCTGTTGAACTTTTTGGTTTTAGAGATGTCATCACTGGCTCATCATCAGAAGTTTCAGGTGTTTTATAAACCAGTTGAAACCAATTCTTGTTGTGAGCTTGGCATAATTCTATCAATCGGGTTGATTAAATAGTTAAAATAAGCATTAGCTTTGACTTTCAAGTCCTTATTTGTCCGGTTATTCCCAGAGATTCTTTAACTATTACTTTTTTTGCACAGTCATCAACACTTTCAAATATGTCTTTCAGTATTTTCTTATCTTTGTGTTTCTTTGTTTTTTGGTACCTTTCTTTGAAAACACCGGATAGCTTTTTGTACTTTGTCATTTGATCAGCATTGTCATTTGCTTTTGTTTCATGTTTGTTTCTTTGGCAACGTTTTTTCTTATTTTTCGTATTTTTGTTGTAGTTTTTCATTTTCTTTCCGCAACTTTAAATTTTCTCTATATAATTTTGATCGATCTCTCCTAATTTTCTGTAGTCATTTACTCTTCTTTGATAAATTTTTATGTGGAAGCATATTTTGCGGACTATTAATACCAGATATATCCGTCTCGTCATTGTTTCGATGCGGTGAATTTTGAAAAGCATCATGGGCTACCATAGCATCTGCTTCAGGTATCAATATAGAAGAAGAACTTAGAGGTGTTATATCATCAAGAAGGTGATTTAAATTATTCCTGTTTTGTCTTAAGTTTTTCTTCCTAAGTTTCCAAGTTGTTCTTGCATTATATTTCTCTTGTGGTGTTAAGTCTTTGATAAGTCTCTTTTTTGTATGATAATTCACATGCTTTTTTCTTTTATATTCTTCGTACTTTTCAGAATTCAGTTTGAGTTTTTCTTTATATCTACTCTGCCTTTCGGCGGCTGTTAAAGGCGTATTTACTGAAACGATTAAACTTACACTAAACCAAAACAAACCTAATAATTAACACGAAAATACTTTACAGAGAAAACGGAATTGGTAATTGAACATTGAAATAGAATGTAAATATTTATTAAGGAGACTTATTCGTTATCATATGCAAAGAAAATGCAAGATGTCTCTTGGCTCACAAGAATTGTCTCTTGGGTCACTCGTTTTGTGACTCAGTGGAACTGTGACCCAGGAGAAATAATACGATTTTTTACGCTTTTTCTTAAGAAAAGTTTCGATAAATTGATAATTACAAATATTAGAGGAATTACAGATTCAAAACTTAAGAAATTAGTTTGAAAGTAACGTATTAAAATATTATCTAAATAAATATTACGACGTCAGCCAGCGGAAGCACAATGAACACACGCATGCACTTTTGAAGTCACGGACGAAACGGTCGAGCCAAATCACTGCTATAGTGTAATTAGGTAGGATCGTCCGAAGTACAGAACTATTTCCTATTAGCTAAGCCACTCACATGCTATCTCTCTCGTATTTTACAATGTTTTATGCGTGTGACCCAGGAGACGCATGTTCTACTGCTATCGTGGGGGCATAAATTATGATTTTAATTATTATACCGAAAACTAAACTTAGGGATCTATAAAAAGAGACAAAGAAAGAAAGCATGTAGTATTTAATTTTCATCGTAAAAGCTCATTGCATCCTTAGGAAAAAAATATAGTATCATTGCTAGATACCAGGCCGACACTCCGTGGGGACAGGATGAATTTGTATGGGAAGACTATTTAGTCCACTGGGTCACGAGTTTTATTTTTGGATTTTTGAGTATAACTGCAGCTAAGTATTAATTCGAATTAACTACGAAATATCTGATTTTATAACTGTACTAAAATTAAAGCCTTAATACTCAAAATGTAAGTTTTTAATAATTTATACTGTTGGGGACACGTTTTGACAAAAAAAAGTTGATTCACCAAATTGTTCTAATCAAACTATTTTTTAATCTATTCATCTATCATGTGGGAAGCTATGGAATGTAAATGGCTGTTTAATTTTATTTTATTTAGTTATAATTGATTTTTTTCGGCTGAGATAATAAGAAATTTTCGGTGTTTGCGCAGCCTTGTAATAAAATATTTTACTAAATACAGATACACTGACTCACTGCGGGCTCAGCCGCCATCGTGAGTGGATTACTGTATCGTTTGTTTACAGCTCGTGATGAAAAATATTGATTGCTGTAGAAATAAAAAATATTCCAAAAACTAAATTTGATACATACTTGACCAAGGTAAGATATTGTTATTATTTTTATAATTACAGATTTTCATTACAATATACTGTTTCGCTAAAAGTACGTAGGATTTAAATATAAATAAACTTATATGTCTTGAACTTTAAGGAGGGACATGAAGGTGTACTTTTGGTGAATGCTAAATTGAAATACTGTATGTAATATTAAAGTTGATTTCGGATCGTTTTAAGATAAATCTGGTAAAAGCTTTTTCAATTAACAATAATATTTTTTTGAATCTCAATAATAATAACAATAAAATTTAAAAAAATAATTACTATTGTTGATTGAGAATTTTTCTACATTTTTTCACGATCATATGAGCATTATGAGTGCACTTTTGGATTTTCAAAACTTTTTTATTGATGTTTAGCATAAAATTACAGCAAAATTAGAAATGATGAAAACAATTTGTTGGTTAAATGTGAAAACTTGTATTTAAAATACTTAAAAAAAATTGACTTATAACATCCAAACTGAGGATTAGGGATAGCTCAATCTGTGAATGTCAATCATCTGTTCTTTGAGTGTCCTAAACTTTCTTTCTCTCTTTATGATATCCTGCCTAATTACATCCCACATCCAGTAAATTTCTTGCTTTTATTCGTACTAATAATATTTAAACTGTAAAATTACTTAACAACTTTGGTGGTGGTATTTTAAATGTGTGACGTCTTTTGTTGTAGATTGTGAACCCACTCATAAAATTGAGAACCCTTTTTTTTACTATTATTAACTTGTCACTTCCATGACTGAATTGACACTGGCAGAATCCTATCAAGAGAAGCCATAATTTAAAAGAAGAAGAAGACTTGTAACATGAGTGCTTAAAGCATGCATATTTGGATTTACCAAGTTTTTTTTTATTATTTGCTGTTGTGTGTGCTATTTGTTTTTATAGTGTTTAAGTCAATTTAAGTCCTTCTGGAAGGCCACACATTCTGATTTATAACTGGTCAAATATGTCCCTAATTTTTTGGATCAATGTTTTATTTATGACAAGAATTTTTTTAATCCAAGAAAAGGCTAAAGTGATTTCCATAATACTAGAAGAGAAGCCATTGATTACGAAGATATGACTTAAATGTAGTAAGTTGTCTCAAACCCCAGTTTTTAACTACTCTACTCCTACCTCTGAGTCTGCCAAAGTACATACATTTCTGCTACCAAGCGGAAGTGAATGTATTGCTGTTACAATATCTTTATCCTCATCTTGATCCTCATATGTGACAAGGCAGATGCCTAATCTTCTTTGTTCAGTTTGTTGCAGTTATTCATCATAGCCAGCAGTATGATCAGGTCGAGGCCACTTACCATCAGGTGGACTCTAATTTGTCACTTCATACTAAAAAAAATGCCTAAAAAGCAGGGTTGATATACTGTATGTTTGACAATGATCGGTCTTTTTGAAAACTAAAATTATTAAAAGCGGAGATCGATCATTAATTAATGTTTCTGTTTTCTTATTATGTAATTTGAAGTCTTGACACTAAGATTGCTTACTCTAGGATATTTTCTTATCTATATGCATATCTATCAGGATATCCTATTAAATGTAATGGAAATGTACTATGCAATCAATTGATATGTCCTCAAACATGCTAGTTTTCTCATTGCTATTCTATTATTCGATGTTTCCTTTACTGCTGAAGAGGTACTAAGTCAGCCAAAAAAAAATCATTAAATATCAATTGTAATAAAAAACGACTAGGACCAACCTGGGGCCAGCGTCAATACCAAACTGCTCCCTATTTACAAACACTGAACACACAAGTGAATGTAATAAATGAGAACATACTCCTGATAGAAATTCCGTAACTCATAGACACATACTTTTATTAGACTTGATTAAGATCCAAAATGTGCTGCAGCTAAAGTACACTGCAGTGTGTCCCTACCACATGTGTATTTCAGCATTAATTCAAAAATTAGGGAATACTCTACTAAAATCCAAGCAATGACTATCTACTAAAATCCAAAACATGACTATGTCACTTAATAGGTTAATTCCTTACATAACAAACCTTAGTAAATTTGAATTGTTGGCTATGTAGTCTACAATACTGCGAGAAATAACATAACCGCCGCCAAGGGCATATGGCAAATATTTATCACACAGAAACCAAGTCTTCTCTTGCCACTTGCCCTTTAGATAAACATTAGCATGGCCGTTAAAATAACCCCAATATAATCCTTTATCTGAGGGTATCCTGTTCTGAAAATGAGGTGTAATTAATGTGTGAAATGATGTAATATCAAAATCTAAAAAACATTGCAAACATTAATTTGTTGTGTAAAGTACAGATCCTATTTCACAGAAAGTAAGAAAATCCTAGCAGTAAGTCTCAATCTATGCAACGGCGATGGTGAATATTTGTGCTAATGTGTTTCTTATTTTGATTTGAGCTATTATCAAGTTTATTGTTTTATTACAATAATAAAGCATCCGCATCACACCATTTTATGAATGATATGATAATTTAAAAACATTAGTCTGTTGCATATTTTTGCATTTGTATTGGATGTATCAAAACCTCCTCTCGCTTCTCCTCGTAAGGCCACATATTTCCAGTGCTGGGCTAAGGCCTCTGCCGTTGCAGGAACGATTTGCTATAAACCTTGGGTGTAGCTTCCCATCGCCGGTCTATGTATTTTATGTAATTATACCATCATCTATCGGAAACTATGAGGTTTTAACAGTATTTCCCTGATGGTTGGGTTTTAGTTTCATGCTACTTTGTTAAGTGTAAAGAGTGGTTGTGAATTGCAAGAGATAGACATGGGTAATCTTTCCAACCTGCAAGTATTTTCTTTTGAGGCAGATGCATAGTTTTTGGATGTTTTAAAATGTTATATGTTTTAGTGTTTACATTTAATAATAAAAATAATAAATTAAAAACATAATAGAAAATCAACTACTTATTTTTGTGTTTATTCATAATATTTAGACTTTTGACCGAGTGATACATGAAAATCTATTAAAAAAGGTAAGAAAAATGTTTGTCTCAGGCTACAATTGCTGATTACTATAATTACTGTTGCAAAGTTATAGTAGTCTACCAATCAAGAATATCTGGGATAAATTAGTGCCGTTGGAAAAGTATTTCAAATCGATGAGTCTAAGTTTGGAAAATGAAAATATAATGAAGGAAGTTATGATTTTTTTCTACTTATATCATTTTAGGTTAAACATAACCCATCATTGCCAAGGTGTAATATGCATTTTTTTAAAAGCAATGCTTCAATTCCTTGGCTTAAGTATGACACATTAATTTGAAATCGGAATACAAAGTTTAATACAATATATTGAATTTTATCTAGCTTTATAATAATGGTTGGCAATTTCATAAGTAAGAACTTAATATAAATGTAAAAGAATAAGTAACCTTAGAAATATACATACTTTTAATGTGACAAATTGGCTTATCTCTGGTGCAGTCATAATTGGTGCAAAATCTTCAAGATCTTTCACTATCAAATCAATTCTAACAAAAGAATCATCATCACATTTGATCAAATATTTCATACTTTTTAAATTCTTACTAAACCATTCTATGGCTTTTAAATTTTTTAGAGATAAATTTTGGTAATTGTCCTCTATGTTTAAAAATAACAAATCTTTACTATATTTTTGTTCAGTCTTTAAGCTTTTTATTTTTTCTTCATCTAATCCTAGTGTTCCCACAGCAAAGTATATTTTAATCATGCTATGTTGAGAATATTGTGAGGTCCAAGAATAGTTCCACTTGTATATTGTTTGACCGTTATCAATGAATATATTATTTACAAAATTCGACCAAGTAGCCCTTACAGCATCACGTTTTGCTTGATTACTAGGACTACTAACTATTAATACAATATATTCCGCTAACATTATTGTATCGTCTTGGTGTTGCAAAGCGGCGTTATTATTACTAACAGTTACCTTAGTACAATCAATATGTAAGAAACTTAAAGTTAAATAACATCCCAGGTAGAAGAAAATCATACTAAAAAGAACTACAGTTCTATACCTCTTGAGAGCAACTTTTAACATAATAACTATCTATCTCATAGGATTTGGCGCAATTAAATTTCATTTGTGAAATAAAACTAGAAAAGCGCTTTGCACGAGCACTTAAAAGTACCTACACTTCACACAAACTTCCATATTTAAATTATATTTCTCGGTTAAAAATTACTTCATTTTTTGACTAGATATGAAATTACTATTCTTTCGTACGCACTTCAAGATCTTATTCCACAGACTACTAAGACATAGAGGAAAGTAATATATCGTACACTAAACCAGAGCTCCGATAGGAGCAATAGTGTTCTGTGACTAAGAGATACTACTTTCAGTTTATACAAAGGTACCTTGGATACTACGCATATCTTATTCTAATTCTCTGTCCAATCATAAATATGTACGTTCACCAAAGAGTAGTATAGTAAACATTGACCATAGATAAATATAAATAGATACGTATTATAGAGTAATTACTAATAGGGATGTTAAAAGGTAATCGGTTTTTGTTTCAATCGATTATTATTTTCTTTACGATTTTTATACTAATATTGAACAACTTTCAAAGACGCGGTATATTATTATGATATATTTATTTTTCTTGAAATAAATCGTCTAGGGATAAAGATGATCCTTATCCCTAGATGATTTAACTCAAGCCTCATTCTTAGATACTGGTTGTGGATGTATTAATAATTGTGTGTCCAAATTTCAAAAGGACGTGTTAGTAAGTAGTAGGTTAGACTGTATCGAATCAAATTCACATTGTAATGAAGGAGTCAATCACCATCACTTGGTCTTAAAAGGAGCTTTAAATGTTCTCTTACGTAGAAGTGAAAATACATTAAGATCAAAGAAAGTAAACTTGCAACGAAAAGAGTACACCATAAAGTATTTCTTTCCAGGTGTTTCAGTATCCAAGATTTTTTTTCCAATATGTATTTGCCACTGCTTTGAAAAGGTTAAAAAATGTAAAAAAAAAATACTTTCTGGACAGCTGTGTTACTCCAAAAGTTCATGAGTCACGTAAACTACCTTACAATTGTATTAATTTGCAAACTAGATCAGACGCAGTCAGTTACTTTTATCAGAGAGTTTTCTAATGAAAACGGTCTAGTATTGACGGGCTGATTACCTGGTCACCAATTTAAAGCATATGAGTACAACAAATATTTGGAAACTGTAGCTTCACTCGATTAAACTTCTATTGGTATAAGTAGTTGGTACGATATCTGGGAAGATTTTTGTTCATATGTAGTTCATATACAGAAGCCGAACACACAGTAGTAGTACAAAATCCCGTTCGAAGCTGTTATGAAGGCGAACGGCTGGAATAAAAGTCAGGCCATGACTGCTCTCACACTGCGCGACCAGCTCTTAACTGTTCTGGAAGCTCTCGGTAGGGAAGTGATTTACGAGTAGCTCATTGAGGCGAGATATGGCAACACTCACCTGGAACACGTCTTTCGTGCTCAGCTTAAAGATCGCGTGCAACGCATCAACGAAACCTTGCAGAAGTGGGCTCTTGAGTTAGAAATCTGGTTCGAAAAGCATAACGGTCTGTACCTGCGCTCATTGAAGGGAACTTGGTGTAGACATTCATCGACGGCATCAGTGACCTTGAAGTCATAGCTGCTGTGAGGCTCGGGCACCACGAGACGCCTAAAAAGCTTGGCGTGCTAAGCAGAGCGGAACAGTATTTTCTGCCGGCTCACCGCCTGTAACTTTACAAGGCGCAGGTTCGGCTGCACATAGAATACTGTTCCCATCTCTGGGCCGGGGCTCCCCAGTGCCAGCTCCTTCCATTTGATCGCATCCAGCGCAGAGCAGTTCGAATCGTCGGCGACCGAGGTCTTTTCGATCGGCTTGAGTCACTGGCTCTGCGAAGAGATTTTGCATCTCTTTGCGTATTTTATCGCATCTACCACAGGGAGTGCTCTAAGGAATTGCTCGGACTACTTCCAGCCATACAGTTTCACCATCGCACATCGCGACAAAACTCGCGATACCATCTGTACCAACTGAATGACAGGCGGTCCACCACTAAGCGATTTAAAAGTAGTTTTCTTCCTCACACAACTTTCTTGTGGAATCAAATACCACCAGAGATTTTTCCGGACCGGTACGACTTAGGGACCTTCAAGAAGAGAGCCTATTCCTTTTTAAAAGGCTGGCAACGCATCTGCAATCCCCCTGGTGTTGCAGCTGCTCACGGGCGGCGGTAATCACTTACCATCAGGTGAGCCGTATGCTCGTTTGCCCCATCTCCTGTAAAAAAATTGGCCTTGGACGCTTGTCGTTTAAGCCATGTTTTAATTTCATTCAGGTTCTTCTTTTTTATGGATTTTTTCTTCACAATATACTGATGCGTCACCATGCGAAAGTTTTTGGGAGATTTTGACGATTTGACGATTTGACGCCAAGGCGATCAAAATAACTTGAGGTTTATATTTACATCGAATCACTTGTTTCGTCATTTTCTGTATCAGTTCACGTGCGCAAACACTTAATCCACAAAATTGTATCACTTTCGTCAAAATCCATTTCAAGCGATTATTTAAACGATAAAACAGGAGCAACAATCCATCGATGGTCAAGTTCCTACCAAAACCACTACGTTTTTAAATATTTTTCTCTATTATTTTTTATTGTTATTCTGTTTTGTTTATAGCAATAAATAATGAACGCTATTTTTATAATAAAATAGCCTTTATTGCTAAAAAAAAACTCATAATGTTGAAATATGAGGCGGCGAATCTGTAGTCTGTAGTAGTAGAATCTGTAGTATAGTCATATCAGTATTGAATAAAAGAAATATATTTATAAAAACGATTGGATAGGCTATATAAAGGTACAGTTCAGTAGTACGTTAGTACTTTTATTAGTTTGTGGTTCAGTAGAGATCTCTACTCAACCTTCTCTGAAAATTTTGCCGTATATTGCAAAATAACCACTGACCTCTATATATACAACTACGCTGGACTGGCTATAATCCATGACATGATAAGGCAATTTGATTTGCGCCATTTTGGCGTTGACAGCAGAAGTGCACGTCCACGGAAGTAATAATAGGGATAAGACAGTGCGACAAAATATATCGATGAAAATTCTATACCGTACCTATACCTAAATAAATAGAACGGACTCTATGGATAGACGGACTCTACACATAACGTCGATTCTATTTATGTATCATATTAACATAATGCCATCATCATTTATCATCATTAAAGCCCTTCACAAGTCCTCTGCTGAACATAGGCCAAGGAATGCCACAAAGCACGGTCCTGAGCCACCTGCAGCCATCAACTTCCTGTATGTCTTATCAGGTTTTCACTCCATCTAGTGGGGGAACTTCCGACACTTCACCTGCCAGTACGAGGCTGACACTCAAAAACCTTTTTTCCCCAACGTTTATCGGTTCTTCAAGCTATATGGCCGGTAGATTGCCACTTCAGCTTACTAATCCATTGGGCGATGTCAGTCACTCTGGTTCTACTGCCGATATCCTCATTCCTAAGTTTATCCTCCTAAGCTTTCCAGGTTCGGCAGTGCCACGTATTCTAGGGGGCTTGACATATCGACACTTAATTGCTTTTGTCGGTGGATGTTGCGCAAGAGGAAGCTGCCAAAACCGTAAATGTAAACGATGGCCAGAATTTGTAAATAAGAAATAAACTAAAGTATAGCCACTACGAAGTTAAAGCACAAATTAAATCTTGAGACTCGAGAGAGAATTTAATCTCTAGACTCGCACTTACTAAAACCCCATGGTGTTCTGCCACCGCCGCAAATTGAAATTTGAGTTGGCCACGGAAACGCTTTATTTTGCGGCAAGCCACCCCATGGCAGCCCCTCCTTAGTTGCTGACTTCTGCCCACCCCCGTTTTTCTTCTTAGATAAGGTGCACCAGAAACACAAGGCACACTACCCTTCACGGCCTCTGACTCCACCTGCACTACAGACTCCCCGAGCCCGATATGTGAAAGGAACCAGGTAAAAACGAGCACTTGGAAGCATCAAGTGGTGCAGCCTCACCAAAGTCGCGAAGGATAGTCGAGTAGCATCGCATCCCCAATCGCCGTACCAACACTCTTTTTCCCTGATGAATCCGCCTTGACTACAGCGGTACAGGGAGAGGAATCTCCTCTAGCCGCAGCACACTAACACACATCCAATGTGGCTTGAAATCATCAGATGACCTTTCGACACTTGGCTATGATCATTGAGTTTGTGGAAAAATGAGGAAAGAAGAAATAAAAAAAAACATTCGAAATAATAATCTTATAATACTTTTATACTTACTGGCTGGTTTTAGAACGGGTTACCAAACCACGGCCACTAACCTCCACCATGACAAGGCGGGAACCCGTTCAGGGAGGAGTTATTTCTCACCTAAACTTACTGAGGACATTACTAATTTTGCACTTACATATATTTATTCCCTTGATATACAAAATTGGTCATATTTAGACAGATTTAACAAATTTACCTTTTGTAAACACAAAATCATCATCAGGCGACCTTTCGACACTTGGCTATGACCATTAAGTTTGTGGGAAAATGGGAAGAAGAAAATAAAAAAAAAACATTCGAAATAATAACCTATAGTACTTTTATACTTACTGGTACTTACCAGAAAATATTGTCGGTATTCTGCAGTTTTTCGAAGTGGTGCAGTTCTCATGTCTAATAAAACAGTCGTCTGTGAAATATTCAGAACAAATATGATCATTTTGTTTCGGACGCCAATTCACAATATTTATGCTTTTAAGCCATAATTTTAGTCTAGGTTCATTTGTAAACCTGTTAATTAATAAACATTTGATAATCATCTGTTGTTGGCGACTTTGTTTGTTAACAGATATGGGTAGGAAAGAACATCGATAAGTATTATAGACAAGGAACTCGACAACCCTATTGAATTTTATTGTTTATCAAAACTCACTAATATACAGCCAAATATGTTGGTATATATGATATTAAGATTAATAACAAATTTTTGAATATTTATATTATCAAATAGTTTTAATTTGCTTAATATTAGCTGCAAAATCACTTACTTGTGTAATGTATACCACTTCCCTTTTGGTAACGAGTTTTACAGATTACGCACACTCATCATTATTAAAAATTATTATCATTATTATTAAAAATAATTCTTATTATGTAACTAATATTATACACAATCAAACAATATAAAATAATTTCGTTTTTTAGTTTAAAAGTTCAAAATACAGATTTTTTTTAAATAAGGCAATTTAAATAAGACAACAGAATTTGGCATATTATGTCAATTTTAGTTTCCAAGACAACCATTAGGGGTGCTTCAAATTGGCACAGACATTTTGTATGTTATAGCCAGTCCAGCGTACTTGTATATATAAAGGTCATTGAAAATAACCCTGTTGCACTTTGACTAGAGAAGAAAGAAAGGACATGACATATCTACGAAAAAAACGTGTATACCTAAACTGAGTCTGGCACAAAGATGGCGGCTAGACGTAGTGCTGCGCAATATACTTAATATCGATAATGTGGGCGCTTATTTAGAAAAATATTCTTTCGTGTGATTCGTCTCAAACACCCGTGTGTTCATACACAGGTTTTTTTTTTAAAATCAATATGACGGATTTTTGGCGCCAAGTTGTAAGTCTTTAATTTTTTTACTTAAACTATCGATAGGGGTATCAAAATAAAGGAAATTAAAAGGAGATTACTGAAATATACGAAAATTATACCTATGTTTTCAGTTCATTACTTTAAACAGTGTTTTTTTTGTTTTTATAATGTAACTATCTATTATTAATGTTACAATTATTTCCCGGGAATTACCAAACAAGAAATACTAATTAAAGAATTTTTGTTTATTAGATAATAAATTAGGCTCAGTCATCATACTCACACTAATCAAACTATAATAAATGCTTGAAAAAAGTTTGAATGTTTGTTTTAGTTATAGGATAGTTTTTAAACCGATCTAGAGGTCCCGAGGAATAGAATAAGAAATTTCGTAATAATCGAACTCCATGAGAGAAACATATGAAAATAACACACTCACCTCACTAAAGTCGCAATGACAACTGATATAGTTGTCATCGTAGACAGAGAAACCTATAGACAAATTGACGCCTTCTTTCGCATTCGCACACGAAAAAGATAGATTTATGCATACGTCTTGCATAGAAATGAGATAGAGCGGTGTGATTGTTTGTCCCTTTCACCGTGCCGGTTTTTTTGTTTAGCAAACTCTACAGTTTGCTAAACAACTTTGAAAGCGTAGCGATTTAAGGAGTTTACAAGTTGGTTTAAGTGAGAAAAAAGTGTTTTGTGAGCCTAAGATTGGTGAATCTTGTTCAGTTCAGTTCTTAGAACAATTAAATTTTTTATCTAAATGTGTTTAAAAGTCATAAAGATTATTGTATAACCTAAAAATTCGTTATCGACCTTTCTCACTCGAGGCCACGCCGATCATTAGTCTATAGGTTTCTCTGTCTACGGTTGTCATTGACTGTGACAAATCATGGCGCCCGGCCGCACCCAAAAAATTGTTTCCATATTCGGTAATGATAAAACTATTGTTGACCTTTTTACATACGAATATACTCATAAGCTAAAAAGAGACGCCGATATTTCGTTACATTCCTACAACTAATGATCTTTATGTCATGTCCTTTATTTCTTCTCTAGTCAAAGGTGTGGCACCATGAATGAATTGTGTTCTCGCTTGCTCGCATAATTAATTCAATTACAAAATATAAAAATTAATACAAAAACATAATTTATTTTCTTATTTTTCTTTGAATGATATAATAATTTCAAATTAGCGCACAACAGCTCGTTTTGAAACAACTTAGCGATCGTAGCTCCCCAATTATTTTGTCCATATTTCTGGGACACTATTTTCTACAGCGATCGTTCTCCTATGGTTCTCCTGTTCTCTAACCTTCATGGTTGTCACTGTCATTGACATCTTGTCGGTTTTAGCGGGAACTGGCGGGAACTTGGCCGTAGACGGATTGTGGCGCCTCTTTTGTCGCTTGAATCATGGTTTGAAGTGGATTTTGATTCGTAAAAGTGATGCCATTTTGTGAATTAAGTGTCCACGCGTGTGAACTATTAGAGAAAATGACGAAACAAGTGCTTTGATGTCGATATAAACCTCAAGTTATTTTGATCCCTTGGGTACCTTATGAACTTGAGTGGCTGTCGTCATCAACTATCCGCTAGGTTGAGCTGTCGTCAAAATCTCCCAAGGGTTTTTCAATATGACGCATCAGCATATTGTGAAGATAGAGAATATAAAAATGAAGATTCCGAAAGAAATGACAGGCTCAGAAGGGCTAGAACCCAGAGTCTAAAAGCCAGTTAATAAAAAAATGACAACTTGTCAAAGTCTACTAAATGAAAAGTGGGAATTTTAACTATTTTATTTAAATTCAGTTTTCAAGCAAACGTTGAGCAATGTTGCTGATCGGATGGACTAATTAAGAAAGTGCAGTTTTCTTTGCGATTTTTATTTAAAGGGTTTCAGTGCCTTTGATTAAGAATATAAACAATCGTTATAGCTCAAATTTTGTTCCAGTGATTAAAACTAATAAACTGTTTTCTACTTCTTGCGAGTACCTTCATTCATTCTACTTCTTGTATTCACCATTTCGCTAATTGTTTTTTGGTACTCGCTAAATTTTTTCGACTGACACTATGCAAAATTTGAGCGATACATTTTAAAGTATTCTGTTTTGTGTATATTAAATTGGTGAGTATCAAAAAAGTTCTTTTAAAATTTGTGGAAAATGTAGGTATTTGAGCTAAATGTTTTTTGTAACAAAAAATTGTTGGATCTAACAACAAAAAATTAATTTACTCATTCAGTATATTTAGTACAAGGTCATTAGTACATAACTAAATATTTTGTAGGTTATTTCTTGTATGAATATATTATATATTTAGTATTTTGTAATAAAATTGACAGAAATTTAATTTAAGTTAAACATTGCATATTAATTAAATATGATTTTATTTTAGTTTGTTGATCATGGAGTCACTTAAACGTAAGGGCAGGCCACCCAATCCCAGGGCTAAAGCAAACCCTTTGTCGGCCCTAACCTTTGCGTAAGTTTGTTTCATTATTTTTATTTTTTTTTCCTTGTGTAGCAGCAATTACTGACTGTAATATAATAATAAAACAATAATTAATTTATCACATTAACCCTTGAATTCCCATAAAAATCGATTGCATCGTAGTCGCATGCGTCCGCCAAATTCCGAGCGGTTGCATGCTACCGCACCCACCCACAGTAAATAATAGAGATGGGGCGAATATTCGTTTTATATTCGGTATTCGGCATATTCGGCAGCTTCACCGAATATTCGTATTCGGCCGAATATTTGGCTAAATCACCGAACATTCGTTTTCATAGTGTCCAATGTGTTGAAATTTACGAATTGAGTAATGCGATGTCTTTTACTGTTGAAAGTATATATTATTTATGGGTTAAATCTGTTTACTCTAGATTGCCTCAAATGCTTAAATCTATACATTTATGTTTTTGAGACACTGTAGATTTACTTCCGATTATAGGAAATAGAAACTTGATAAAATGTTTTTATAATCAAACAAAGAAACATTACATTACATTAGTACATATTTCACTTTACTTTGGTCGTCAGTTTCTCTAAAAAATTCCAAATAGTAAATCTCCTGCTGCTAACTTTATTTTATTGCATTGCTGCATTATGATAAGAAATTTAGTTGTAGTTAAGCTCAATCTTAAAATTGATTAGAATATATTACCAAAATGTACACAGTTTATGAACAAAAACACTTCTTTAGAAATATATGTTTAATTTGTATGGTATTATTATACAGTGTGAGTCTTTATAAAGTGCACATATCAAAACCAGGGAAACTACACATAATTTCACACTCAGTTTAAACGACATTCAGTTTAAAAGTTATAACAATTTATTTAAATAGGGTTAGCAGCTGCAATTTCAAATATTAAAATATTCATAAAAAAAAAAAAATTTTTTATAATTTTTTTTTAATAATTTTTCCTTCGATGAAATTATATGTAGTTTCCCTGGTTTTGATATGTGCACTTTATAAAGACTCACACTGTATTTACCAAAATATGGTTGGTCAACAGTATACATAATAGTTATTTGATGGCCGATATTTAGTATGGAGGTGGGATTGCAATTACATTACCACGCCACAAATTGAGGGGGGGGGACAGGTGTGCCTGTTGTAGTTACGCGGAAGATATTTGGGTGTCTATATTACTAAAAAGATTCAGGCCGCCAGTGACATATAATATAAAAATTTGTGCGCTTTACCTGTGTAGAGAAAATATTGGTAACTCATAATATTACTTAAGTCAAACTTGTGTAATAAATTCATATTCATAGGTGATTTAGTCATGTAGATCGAAAAGTTTGCAGCGACAGTACTTCTGTCAATATATTTCTGATTTTCTCGACTCTGTTCACACCTGTAGCTTACCTCAATATAGGTATACATAACTTAAATTGCAGACTACTTGACCTGGTTTTCTCTAATGACTTTGGAGATGTTGAGTAGTAGATATTGACCTATTTTCTACTAGTTCGTAATCTGTAAAAAAGAGTGATGAACGGAGAATTTTTCACTCACAGCCGCGACTAGCATGACTCAAATTGCGACCTCCTTTGTCTCACGACAAGTTAAACTATGCCCTTTTTTCTTGTTAATGTTTTTCTTTTCGAGTAGTTTAATCAATCCCTGGATTATTATTTTAAATTTGTATGAACTCAAATGATAGTAGTATGTGGAGACTTGTGATTAGCAATTCTTATTACCATTTTGTAACCTTACAAAGATATTAGTCCATAAGCCTTCCTAAAATGAATGAATAAATAAAAATAAATATAAGTAGCTACTGCAACTATGGATGCCACCTTTTTTTGAACAAATATTGTATTTTTCCCATATTAGATGAAATAGTACTTTTGAGAAATTTAGTAGACAATTTAGTAGAGATTTATTTTTAAAATTGATGTATTTTCCATATTATATATTTGTTATGGCCATCAATGATCTATTACCTTATTAAAATAATTATAGAAGCCTGAGCTATTTAGATTCGTATTAAAATAAATTAACAAATTAATTTTTAATATAATAATTATTTCTTTTCTCTTTCAATTTTACATTCATGTCGTTGTAATGTAGGAAAGGAGTCAATGAAGAGAGACGTGTTGTTGGTATTAAAACTTTAATTATACTGTACTCATTATTGTACCTTCTTATGTTATTTTTCTATAATATATAGTACAGTTAATTGAAATATAGTATGATACTTTATATTAAAGTACAGGTGTTTAGTATACCTGCAAGTAGGGTTGCCAAGTCTTAAAACCGAAAAGCCGGACAGACCAGCGAGCTTAGCCGGACCTATTGGTAAAAAGGCCGGACACCCTTAATTTTTGTCATAGTAAAAGACATTTTTTTAATGTAAAACAATGCTTTTTATCATTTACCGTAAAATCTGCTTAAGTGCTAACGAAGTAACAACAATTGAATAAATCAGTCTTCTTTATTATTAATAATTGAATATTCATTATAATATTAATTTCGGTAATTGCAATAGTATGTATGTAAGTATATAAAAAATTTAAAGAAATGGTCAAATTTAAAAAGCTTAACAAAAGCTGGACACCGTCTAATTTGGCCGGACACGCATCCAAAAAGCCTGACTGTGTCCAGTTTTATCCGGACATCTGGCAATGCTACCTGCAAGTAGCTGTAAACAAAGCGGTCTACAGATGTATTGCCAGAGTCACTTTAAATAATGAAATGAGATTTAAATAGATGAATACTATATTTAAATGAATATGTAAGAGGATGGTACAAGTCTAGAAAGGCTTGTAGGCAAAAATAGAGCTTTTACCATCTATATTTGGAATACATATACTTTAAAGGCTACTTTACTTTGTTTTTGTTATTCATATTCATAATAGTGTAATATAAAGGATACATATTGTTTACGAATTTTTATTATTTTTAAAATTTTAGGTGGACATTGCCAATATTTTGGAATGGCTTTAAGAAGGAAATGGAGGAGCAGGACTTGTTTGAACCACTAGAAGAACATGCATCAAGTAATTCTTTTCATTTAAAATCTAAACTTTGTATGATCATCATTAGTTAAGTTACACCCTTAATACATTTCTCTTCTAGGCTTTCTTATTTCAATGTGGTGGAGCCTTGCTGCGGCTATATTGTGGGTGCAGCACAAATGGGTCGGCTCGACTGGGGTAGGACCTCGTTCTCACAGAATACCAGCGTAAAATAGCAGCTTAATGCTGCTGTGTTTCATATGGTGAGTGTAGAGAACTGGCGACCCTTTTTACTGGAAACGAGGCATTCTATCTCAGTCCTCAGGGCTGGCAACGCACCTGCATTTTGATTCTTAATTGAAGATAACTGTAGTTGTCTATGGGCCACAGCATCCATTTAGCTCAGGTGGACTGTGTGCTCGTTTGTCACCCTTATTCTATAAAAAAAGGCACATTGATTCTCTGAAAGCAATTATTCTAGCATGCTGCTGCAGTGCATATTTGTAGACTCTGCCACTGCCTTGATTTTTTTAATTTTTAAGATTTGCATGTTTTCTCAGTAAGATTTTGTTTATGGCTGGCATGTGGTGAATCTGCACTTAAAATTTTAATAGTGCCAATAGATAATTTACTTTTGCGTAATATAAAATTAATGGAGAGTGTTTAATCCCTGACTACCACTTATCGAGCTGCGATTTTGAACTATCAAGCAGTAATAGTTTTTGATTCATCTTTCTTTTCTAACACAGCATGTGATTCTGACATAAAATAAATTTTGTATCGAGCCTCATATTACAAGAAAAATTGTGTCGCCGAAATTCTGTCGGTATTGACGATCTGCAGATCGCAAGATGAACTGATTCAGTTGCGCGTTCGGTTCATTTGCTGTTCACATTTATGCGATACCGTATTTTTGTCGGTGTCGACGAGAAATGTTGGGGGATTTGCCAGCCTTCTACGTCCGTAAAAAATCGCATCGAATCTCGTTCGCCTGTGAGTAAGTATCCCGCTATTCACATTATGTCGGATGTCATGCCCGACAACCCTACATATCGCGGCGCGCGCAGAATTGTTGCGTTTTTAATCTACCTTGTACGCACGAGATTTCATCACACTAGTTCAGGAGTTCAGGATTATTCTTCGTCCCAAAGAACATTCTATTCTTGGCTTTTTTCTTTGTTTTTTTTTTCTAAACTAATACATCACAACCAAACCTTAGTTAACGTCGCTCCAGCTTCAATCGGGTTCTACAACTGACTTGTGTGAACAGAGGCGCCGACGCCCGACAAGTCGGAACTAGCTTTAATCCAAATCCTCCCTACAATGAGAGAGTCCAGAGAGAACGATAGAGTCTTCTCAGCCTCCGGGCTGGACTAGGGACTCTATCTTTTTTTCGCTTTTACCTACTGATGATAAAGAAGACGGTATTGACTATTTGAGTGATTACTTGAGTACTTAATTTTTAACGCTTCGTAGGTCCTTTGGGCGACAAATTCGCCCGTCTATGGGAAGAAGAAGTCGCTCGTGCGGGAGCAAAACGCACGCCAAGCTTACTAAGAGTCATAATGAAAGCCTACGCTGCACGTTGTATGCTTTATGGGTTTGTGCTACTGGTAACGGAATGTGGAATACGGTAAGTACATAAAAATAATGAATTGAATACCTATTTGTTATCATTTTGATGATTCTGCTCCCAATCTCAGTACAGACTGGCTAAAATGGTGTATTGTGTATTTAATATAGTTTTATAAACAAGTGCTTAAAATATTTTTGTCTTAAAATTACTTCATTATTTTATTTTCGAAGAATGCGTTAAAAATATATTTTATTGCCAGTACTGGCGAAGAATTAATTTGAAAACTTTTATGAGTAATTAATACGTTTTAAAAGTTGGTTTTTTCTTTTCACGAAGAAAATAAACCGCTAAATTAATTTATAGACTCTGTAAACATTTGCTACGATTGAAGGCATTAAATTTAGCAGGATAGCCAACCTCTAGATACCTTAAACAAATGTTTTTGGTGTTTATTTTTGTCGATAGGTAATTTTAAAGAAATGCTTTCTAATCCCGCCCGGGTCTTATTAATACATTTCTTAGAAAATATATGGAAATGCGTAGTTGAGGAACATGAGGAAACGAATTAATTTTTTCAGCTGTGGACTGTGTTTACAGCGAGTTTCGAACTAAATGAAATGTCCTTAAGACCGAATTTCTAGGCTAGTCTTGTCTCTGCCTACCTGGGTGAGAGGCGTGATATTCTCACGAATAGAATAATATAGAACAGATATTCTTTATTGAATATAGATAGATTTTAAGTAATACTTTATGAAAGCCATTTTTGGTAGTCTATGTTTGTTTGCACGTAAGCTACGTTAGGTATGTCCTTAGAGTATTATTATTATGAATCAGGAAACTTTATCGGATATTTGTATAGAATTTCAGCTTATTCTTGTACTTATCGTCAAAGGTTTTCACTTTCGAAGAACCTTCCAGATTAGACTATAGTAATATTGCGTTTTTACGTATTTTTAGATTGGCTGTTCCTTGCGACGTCGTTCGCGTGAAATTTATTACTCTTAAATTTCAGGGGTTTTAATTTTTTTGCGCAGAGCCCTAATTCTTTTTCTAAAATAAAAGTAGCCTCAGTTACTCCTTTTAACATCAAGTTTCTGCCAGTGAAATTCCCTTCAAAATCGGCCCGGTCATTTCGAAGATTAGTCGGAACAAACAGACAAAATTTTAAAAAATTGTTTATTTGTGTTAAGTACCGTACCTATATAGTTTAAGGCGCTGTCCTATTGCCATCGCTCGCACGATGATGCGATGCGATTTCATCGTCCGATGAATCCGCACGCGCGATTTCTTCAGTCGCATCGCATGATCGCACGACGTTTAATAGGTCATTCCGCAAATATGAATATGTTTAAACGTATGAATATATTTGAGTGATTCCCAAGCATATAGATTAAGTAATTTCGTTATAATTTCAACTATAGTGATTTTTTAGAGGTGTTTTCGCAAATAATTATGATCGAGTCAAAATTATACAATCGTGTTTTTGAACAATCAAATTCAAGATAAAGATATGAATTTACCTATATCAAAATTCCACGTCCTATACCTACTATTCGACGAAAGGAGATACATTTTTTCACGGTGTCGCCTTAAATAAATTATTTTATTCTTGCATTGCGCATGTTTAAATCAGTATCTATTTTCTGTTTGGCTTAATAATACGATAAAGATAACAATTCATTGCTCTTACTTGTAGTGTTTGTTTTTGCAGTAGACAAATCCATATTAATGAAAGTTGTAAAGATACAACGTTTATCACGTTGTAGAACCATATTATGGTTGCAACACGAATGAAACAGCCGGGAAATGACCAGACTCTCACAGAATGACCGGTTAAAATAGTAGCTCTATGCTGCTATCTTAGTCCTCAAGGGCGACAACGCGTCTGCATTTTGATTCTTAATCGAGGATACATGTAGATGTGTACAGGCCACAGCATCTATACATCAGGTGGGCTGTGTGCTCGCTTATTTGTCTTAAAAGTGGTGTGCTGTGTTTAACTGTCATGTTATTTGATGGCGAGGCTAAAATTTGCTAATATACATATTTCATGTAAGAGCAGACCTGCTTGAGGTTGGTAAACCAACGTCGGTTGCCAGTCTCGATCGTCTGTCAATAAGCGGCCGGAATAATATATTTCTTTTTTTTTTACTTTTTTAGGTAACTGATGATGGGATTATTTATGTATAGATAATAGTGTCCCCCAGACCGAATTCCGCACACGGCGGACTGTTTCGTCGTTAGCTTACCATCTGCGCAGGATAGGATTGTAGTGCTCTAGTGTGTGTGCAAGTACAGGTGTACTTTCTATTATTATTCCCTCACTCTCATAGTCCGATGAGCGAGAGTCTCAGATCAGAGAGTTCAAGCGCAGGAGGCGAGGACCGATAGCTTTACGTGCTTTCCAAGGCAATGGGTTAAAGAGAAATATAACCTCAAATGGCTTAGCAAGATCCTCCGTTATGCCGAAAATATTGCAGCATTAATTTTGAAATAAATATATGGTAAAGTTGAGTTGATTAATGTTAATGACTATGTTAGACGAAAACACGATTCCGTAAAATTTTCTCGATAGAAAAAAAATCCAAAGTTACCTCCAAAATAAACAATAAACCGCTGTTATTCATAAAATACTTTAAATAAGATCATGAAACTTTGCATACTAACTGAACTTACTATAAAGCAGTGCTTATGTTATTTACTTTTTTTAAAATACCACTATTTTCACTGTAAAAAGAAATTACCTAAACTATCGGCATCTTGAAGCTTGATTCCTGCCGCCCCGTCAGTTTCGCTTCGGCCTTTGAAGGGAGAAGTTGTGTCGCTTACGATCAGAATAAACATTACGCAACAGGGCGACGTAAAATTAAAATTGGAAATAACCGTGATAAAAATAAGAAGCGACTGGGTTGGCGTTAAGAAACAGACATAAATATGATAAACCTAATGAAATAAGTATCTAATTACCTATCTACTTACAGTATTAGTGATTACAAACATGTCGGTACATAGAATACGACGCGCGGGGAAGTGGGGGCGAAATTAGAATTTGAGCTGACTTACTATATCCTCTTAATACACCGACAACTTCCTGACTCCGGGCTACGTTTTTATTAGAATAAGGGTGCCAAATGAGCGCACTGTCCGCCTGATGGTAAGTGGACGCTGTAGCCCATAGACATTTACGTTTATACTCGATTAAGAATCAAAATTCAGATGCGTTGCCACCCCTGAAGACTAAGATGAAATGCCTCGTTTCCAGTAAAAAGGTCACCTCTTCTCTACACTCTCCATAATTATGAAACACAGCAGCAGCCTTTAGCTGCTATTTTTTTCTTTATACGTGGTAGAGCCATGCTGCAGTTATATTAGTAGTATGGTTGTAACACGAATGGGTCGGCTCGACCGGGGAAGGACCACGCTCTCACAGAATACCAGCGTAAAGTAGTAGCTTAATGCTGCTGTGTTTCGTATGGTGAGTGTAGAGAACCGGAGACCCTTTTTGCTGAAAACGAGGCATTCCATCTTAGTCATCACGGGTGACAACGCATCTGCATTTTGATTTGTAATCGAGGATAGATGTTCTATGGACCGCAGCAACCACTTACCATCAGGTGGACTATGTGCGCGTTTGTCAGTCTATCCTATAAAAAAAATTTACGCCGGTATTCTGTGAGAACGTGATCCTACCCCGGCCGAGCCGATCCATTCGTGCTACAACTATTATAGCTGCAGCGTGGCTCTACCACGAGAAAGAGAGATGAGAACTTCTTGACAGAAAAAGATAATAACTGATTTTGGCCCGACCAGGGAATCAAACCCAGAACTTCATGATCAGTAACCAAGTTAACAACCACTAGACTAACGAGGCCGCCAATATGGATACCTACTCTATACGTAAAGTTTGGAAGTTGCGAAACGTCTGGTACCGATATCGTCAATCGACCTGCCAAGCGGTTACTATAAAATCTTTCTACGAAGGGAAAGACCTGAATCGTGCACTTTATTGGATACAATAGCCGATGAAGTTAACAAGACGTGTTTTTTTCCATTTATATCACGTCATATATGTATGCCAGCCGGCATGAATCAGTTAGAATTCTTTTTCAAGTAAATGGTGGGCATTGAACCAATATACCTTTCCACTGTTATTGCGGTTCCTCTATCTACCGGTATGTGAAATTTGGATTCATTGTTTTTGGGTAGATTACCCGCTCGTCTGTCAGTCAACGGGGTCAGGGTCAGGGGACAGGACAGTCGACTTTGCAGGTTGAGACTGATGCTTGGAGAAAAATACTATCCTGACAAAAATTCAAATAAATTGTATGTAATACCCAACAATTAAGTTATTACTGATATAAGTTACAAGTTAGTACTCAGTCGATATACAGAAGACAATTTAATGCTTATTTCTTAGTTTCTTTTTATTCTGGAACAATCTTTTTACTTAAATTTTTGTTATAGAATGGTTCTTACATAAATATCGAAATATCTGACGAAGAAACGTAATCAGTTTTATCCTGGAACTAAGTATCGGTCTAATAGTGAGAGAGTCCGCATCCAGCGCCTGTAGTTTTATGAGTACATGTCATGGTGGGAAAGTACTTTGTAAGATTAATTAGTGACCTCAGGGTGAATATGTATCGTAAAATATTTTCATCTGAATAATACTACGCTCTAAATATATAGACTAATGTAACTTTAAATTAGTGCTCTTTTTTAATCTTCTGAGTACTTTTGGCGATTACCTTATGATTGACGCATGTACTGACCAAACTTATAATATTACATAGTATAGATAATCAAAATAGTGCATAAATTAAAGAAAAACGTAGTTAACGATCTTAGACGGGTTCCTATACAAACAATATAATATAGTACCACAATATAATATATATAATAAAGAAAAAAATAATTTCAAAAAATATAATCATTTTTTTTTGAAAATATATTTAATTAATCAAAGTATGCACCGTTGTTATCCATGCACTTTTGCCATCTCATTGGTAGTTCATTGATCCCTTTACTAAAAAAACATGGGGGGCAAGAATCAATAA